CATTAACTTTGGACTCAAGTACGCTTCTCACGTCTGCATCGGCAAGGAAGTCACTTCCGGCGAGCTGTGCCTTGCCATGACCAAGTCCAACTCATCCTACGTTACTGTTCCAAACTCTTGTGTGTTCCAGCTCAGCAGTAGCAACATTGAACCCAAGCTTCTGCTGGGTCTCGTTCTGAGATACCTTGTGGCCTTGTCTGTTGCTGAAGACATGATGGAGCAAACTGTGCTTCTCCTGGAGCCTGATGTCGCTCTCTTGGAGTGCATGAAGGAGGTCTTTGAGGCAAAGGGTGCGAACGTCATTGCCTGCACCACCAGCGGGTCGAAGCGCAAGTCCTTTGGCCAGCGCTACATCCACCCTTATGCCAGCAACCGAGAGCTCAAGGCACTCTTCCCTGCTGACGGAGCTTCCGTCATCGACTTCCTCCCCGAGGGCAGCGAGCTCTCCGAGACCATTCTCGACTGCCTTCCCGAGAACTGCGAGTACCACTCTCGCTTCTCCCTCCTGACTTCCGAGCACGTCGTCGCTCTCGGTGACTCCATGGACATTGAGCACCTCTGGGAGACTGCCATCGGAAAGGCAATCACCAACGTTAGAAGCATGAACGGCCGCATCGGCTACCCGACCCTGGACTCCATCTCCGTTCCTCAGCTCCTCGACCACACCGGCAGCAGCAAGCCCTTCCAGATCCTTGACTGGCGCGCCGAGCGTGAGGTGCAGCATATTGCCAAGCCCCTCTTTGGTACGCAGCTCCTCCGCCCGTACAAGACGTACGTTCTCGTCGGCCTGACGCGCGACATGGGTCAGAGTCTGTGCAATCTCTTCTTCGAGCACGGTGCGCGCCACATCGTCCTCGCCAGTCGCAACCCCAACATGCAGCCTCAGTGGATCGAGGACCTCAGCAACAAGGGGTGCGAGGTGCGCATTGAGAGGCTCGACGTCACCAGCATCGAGAGCGTGCGGGCTTTCAAGCAGAGACTGGCGCAGGAGATGCCGCCGGTCGCTGGTGTCATCAACGGTGCCATGGTTCTCGACGATCGCGTGTTCGCGCAGATGGACGTCGAGACCTGGAACAGGGTCATGCGTCCCAAGACGGTTGGCTCTAGCAACCTCGATGAGATCTTCTGCGAGGCTGACATGGAGTTCTTCATCATGACTTCGTCGTTCGCAGCACCCGGTGGTCACGGCGGACAGTCCAACTACGCCGCAGCCAACATGTACATGAACGGTCTCGCCGCCAACCGTCGCATCCGCGGCCTGGCAGGCTCGGTCCTTAACATTGGCGTCATTTACGGCCTCGGTCTCCTCCACCGCGAGCGCACCGACATCTACGCGTTCCTCGAGAAGGACGGATACCCGCCCATCTCGGAGCGCGACATCCACCACATGTTCCTCGAGGCCATTGTCGCGGGTCGCCCTCTCGACGGCCAGATCTACGATATCACCACCGGTCTCAGCCGGTACAACGCCAACCGCGAGGACAAGCTGCACTGGCAGATTGACCCGCGCTTCTCACACTTCACCTTTGAGGACGACGATGAAGGTGTCGAGGGCGAGGGCCAGGGCAAGCAGAGTCTCAAGGAGAAGATCAAGGCCGTCGACGGCGGTGTAGAAGAGGTTGCCGCGGTGTTGATTGAGGGTTTTGCCCGATACCTCGAGGTCGTCCTCGGACAGGGTGAGGGCAGTGTCAAGGGAGAGCACAGTGTTGGCGAGCTAGGCATGGACTCGCTTGTTGCCGTGGAGGTGAGGGGATGGTTTTGGAAGGTGATTGAACGGGATGTTTCTGTGATGAAGATCCTGGGCAGCGCGAGCGTTGCAAAGTGTGAGTTTCTGCTCTCCCCTGTTGTTCTTTGCCTATTGGACTTTGACTGACTTTTGGAAATAGTGTGTCTTGAAGTTGCCGATGGCTACATAAAAGAGAAGAACAAGGCATAAAATGCCGATACCATGCTCTGCGGGCTAGACCCGAGAGCGGGAGGGGAATTAAGAAGGGCTGTGACATCTTCTTACCAGAATCTCTGAGAATATGTTATGTACCATCATGTCTGCGCCGCATTTCACGTTTGATTTTTTGCTTTTCCTGCTTTTACTATGCATTTCAGCCTTGGGGTTTGGTCGATGGATGGATTTATTTGATGTGGTTGGGAAAATTGGTTGTTCCTTTGTCAAGTCTGTTGCAGCTGTGACATCTTTTTGTATTTGTTTGTATGATTTGGTGTCTTGGACTGGAAGGATGGCTTTCTGGACTTGGATGAAAAAACTTGGGATGTTGAGACGGAAATATCTGAAACTCGGTCGGTGACTTGCTTATCAAGTCGTTTGTTTTTGCTTCATGCCTGGTTTAGTTTTTTTGGCTTTGAGATATACCACAGTCCCTACAAATATCTATAGCAGTTTGTTAGAGGAACTTGAAAGATATTGTTCCTCATTTTGGTCTTCCTCACTTTGGTCTTCCTCACTTTGGTCTTCCTCACTTTGGTCTTCCCATATCTTGGCCATATCCTGATTCCTGGTTGATTATTCGCTGTGATAAAGTCTCCCTGCTCTTTGCGGAGTATTCTGAATGTAGGTGGCCAGGCAATCAACGTTGAGCAGCGGACCAGGAATAGCCCACCAAGGTGAATCAAGAATCAAGAATCAACACATTTCATCCCACAAGACCTTGAGATTTCCAAACCCACAGACTGCAATATAACCATTCGGGCAAGACAAGTGAACTGTCCGAACCCCAACTTCCAGGAAGGATCCCGCTCATCCGGCCGTGGCATTCAATGTGGATCCCGCCCGTTGCCTCTTTGGGGTTGGGGATGCCCTCCCTCCGCGTCCCCGCATCAACACCACGCTACCACCCGGCCTGCCGGCCCACCATGATCCACTTTCATCTTGTGAAGTGTGCTTCTCAAGCTTTCTTGCCCCTGTTTCCCTCCCATCATTAACCCCGCCTTCGTTGTCTAGTTTGCTCTCTGACTTAATTTGGTTGCGTTGTTTACACTTACCAAAGCGAACCGCGGACCTGGGTCCTGCGAGCTTGCCGTTTCTTTCCAGACACGAGATGAATCTCCGCACGAACGGGGGGCCTAGGGGAGGGATCCCCTAGATACCGACGATCCTTTTCCCGCCAATGATTGCAGGGAGCCCCCTCAGGTTCGAACGAGCCTCTGGGGGACTGATGGCTTCGGAACCACCGCTCGACCAACTTCCCGGTTTGGATTGGGTTCACGGACGGATCACGGATGGAGGGTCCCACCGGAGAGTACTGAAAGCGGGATGGGTTGATGTAGCGACCAAGGAAGAGGGAGCGAGTTCGTATGTCTATTTAAACAGGACTTGCCTTGTTGCCCGCCCTTGGGTCCTTGGTTTGGTAGATTGGTCCGTTCCCTCTGGAATCACAATCCACAACGACAATGGCTCGTATCACGGCATCCATCCTCGTCGCTGCCGGTCTGGCTCTCTCAGCCAACGCGCAAGCTCCCGTTTGGGGACAGTGCGGTGGCACAGGATGGACGGGTTCAACTAGCTGTGCTTCTGGAGCATATTGCTCCTCCCAGAATGCTTGGTACTGTGCGTAATATCGATATCGGTGAAGGGGACGGGTATTCGAGCATCAAAAGTTGACTTTCTATAGACCAATGCGTTCCCGGAACGGCACCGGCCGTCTCCTCCACTAAAGCCACCAGCGTTCCGGCCTCGACTACCAGCCGTGCCGTGACCACCACCTCCTCCGTCCGCTCCACCTCTTCATCCCGCGCCCCGACGTCAACCGCCACCTCCGTCCCGTCTCCTTCCGGGCCAAAGTACTTCATCACCTTGTAAGTCGAAACCCCAAACCCTCTTTACTCATGAAAGAGGAACGTAATTGAACACAACCCCAGCGGAGACTCCTACTCCCAAACAGGCTTCAACATCAACTCCACAAAACCCAACCCCCAAAACCCCCTCGGCAACCCAGACCTGCCCGGCTGGACCGCCTCAGGCGGCCTCGACTGGGTCGGCTTCATGGTCACCCAGTTCAACGCCTCCCTCACCTACTCCTACAACCTCGCCTACGGCGGCGCCACCACGGACGCGAGCCTCATCGCGCCCTACGCGAGCACGGTACTCAGCTTCATCGACCAGGTGGCCGAGTTCTCGCGCAGTCTGGCGTCCAAGCCGAGCTGGGCGCCGTGGACGGCGGATAACACTCTGGTGGGTGTGTGGATGGGCGTTAACGATGTGGGAAACGCGTTCTGGCTTTCGAATCGGGAGGCGTTGTTGGTGCAGGTTTTGGGGCGGTATTTTGATCAGTTGCAGATTTTGTATGATGCTGGGGTGAGGAAGTTTGTGTTGCTTGGTGTTCCGCGTAAGTCATGACCTCGTCTTCTTATCTTTTCCTTGCGTTGAGACCGCTCATCAAAACTGACGACACGTTCACACAGCAACTCAAAAGACGCCCCTCATGCTCGCCAACGGCGCCGACTCCAACGCCCAGCTCGCCGCGGCTATCAAGCAGTACAACGACCTCATCACTAGCAACCTCGCAACCTTCAAGGCCAAGAACTCCGGTATTACATCCTGGGTCGTCGATACCACTCCCGCGTTTGACAAGGCCATCAACAACCCGACTGCTTACGGCGCTCCCGACGCCACGTGCTATAATGCTGATGGCGTCAGTTGCTTGTGGTTCAACGACTACCACCCTGGCGTGCAGATCCAGAAGCTTGTGGCTCAAGCTGTTGTGGCTGCTGTTGGTGCGCCGTGGTTCACTTGTGAGTAGCCCACTTCGACGATCTTTGGTGCTTGTGTGCTAACGGGAGGTTGTAGCATGATTGAGCTTGGCTTTGAGTATCTGGCGCATGATATAGTTGTCTAAATAGTCAATCTAAGCTGCAGGAATCCGATGAAAATTGTCCAAAATTGTGACGCGCATGGAATGCTCTGGCTCTCACAGTGAGAGATCTCAACTGAACAATCTAATCAAGGTATCATGACCCCCATCTCACTAATCATAGACTATCAAGGATCAAGATGACTTCACGAGGTCATCGCTTACGAAAACAACACGCGTCTTCCCCAATCCTGCCTCGCTCCATCCCTTCTCAACATCCTTCATCGCAATCACCTTGACTTCCTTGCCCTTCAAACCAGCAGTCACACCAACCATCCCACCAAGCTCGTTCGCATACTCCCTCATGAGCCAGCTGCCCGGCCCAGCACCACGGAGCGCGACCCTTTTCCCCCGCAAGATCGCCCCGGGAAGGGTAATATCCCCGTCGCCAGACACAGAGCCAATGTGAACATACTGCACCTCCTTCTCCGACTTGGGCAAGGCCTTGAGGAGCTCCACGACTGGGGCGCCGTAGACATAATCCAACACAGCATCCACCTCGCCCAACTTCGACCAGTCTGTCTCTCCACCATTGAGAACGATGCGCTCATCAATCGGAATCTCCTCCATAGCAGCAGCATTCCTCGCAATACCAATAATCCTTCCCGCGCCCTTGGCACGAGCAACATCAACAGCTACTCGTCCACTCGCACTCGTCACTCCCAAAATCGCGACAGTGAACCCCTTCTCCTGCGGCGCCGCGCGCGCAGACAGGGCCATCCAGCTGCTCATGACGGGGTTCATGAAAGCAGCGACCACGGCCGCGTCTGCGCCTTCCGGAAGTGGTGCAACCGCAGCTCGCTCGACATTGACGAATTCCGCAAAGGTGCCCGTCGCGAGGGCGGCGAAGAAGTAGCGCTGGCCGGTGGTTGGGTCCTCGCCTACGCCGTCTGCGCCGGGGAGGTGCGGGAGCGTGGATGCCGTGTAGTGTTTTCCCGAAGCGCGGGAGAGGACGAGGCGGTGGACGCCTGTTGCGAGGACGCGGAGGCGAATTTGTGTTGAGGATGGTTCTGGGAGGTCCGGGACGGTTGTGTAGGTTGGGGGTGAACCCCAGGTGTTGATGAGGGCTACGTGCATTGTGTATGGGTGGGATTGATGGGTTTGACTTCCGAGATGGCTTGCTGAAGAAGACAAAGCTGATGTAGTGCTTAGATATTGACTCTGGGTCTTGAGAAAGTTGGGATGATGTCTGGGGTTGAGACTGTTATATACTGTTCGACGGGTGAAGAAAGAAAAGCAGATAAACATTGTGACCAACCACATCGTCCAACAGTCCAGAACCGGTAAGTTACCTCGATATACCTTACATACTCTCACTCAAGTAGGTACACACTTGGATACTTAGCGGCGGCGCCACTGCGAGACGCTGAGCATGCATTCTTTCGCGTAGTAAGCAAGCCCAAAACATGGCTCCCTTCACTGCGCCGCGCGCTCGGCATTAGAAAGTAAACCGCGCGCGGCCGGGAAGCATGACTCTAACTAACGGGTTAGACTAACGAGTTCATCTCGCGTCGCGGTGGCAAAGATTGGCCTCAAAGCTTAAGCTTTCTTTCCCGCGCGACAAGCTCTCGTGTAGGGCTGAATGGGCGGAACTGGCTTGACTGGCTGGTTAGAGACACTAGCCGGACTGCGTAAGCCGTGCGGAGCGGATTGCCACAAGTTGTGTGTCATTCGGGACGCCGGCACCGCAAGCGAAAAGTCCGTCGGCCTTCCGGGGGTTCACGGATCCTCCGTTCAGCACGGGACACGAACACATCACCGCCTTCATCGGCACCCTCCACCGTAGCCGGGCGAGCGACGGAAGATGCTGCTTCTTCTGTACTATCGCATTCCTTCTAGGAGCTTAATGAAGCACTGCAACTCTGGAAGTTTTGACTGACCTCTTCGCCATCCTGGAGAACACTAATGCCCGAATCGCCCTTGCCTTAGGACGCTTATTCCCGATGTCCGTACTGACTCTATCCACAGCCCGGCCGGACTCGAGACGCGGGCGCCGTCGACAAGGTAGACGTAATTCTCGGTGAAGTCCCATAGCTGACAAGGAGGCTCGATCTCTACTTGAGTCTGCATTATACTAACTCGACCGACGTCCGAACCTTTCGGCCGAGCTTGCGAATGTCTCATTGAATGATACTTATGGGGCCAAGCACCTGGATTTGTGGTCCTGTCGCCGCCCTTGAGGCTTGTATCCGTACTCTGAGGCCAAATTGCTCGTCCTACAGACAAGTAAGTACATATCGCACGGGTCGTGGCGAGAGCTCGACCGGAGATCCAATTGGACTCGGACAATCTCGGAGATAAATTCCAAGTTAGTGCTCTCGCCAATTGCCTTCTCTCAACCAGAAGTGGGTATCATCGTGGGACAGCTCATAGAGAAGATGGTTTGAAAAGCCGCTCATAATTCCAAACTGTTTCGGTCCGAGATTAGGCTCGGAGACTTCGCAAGTAGATGAGCCCCCATGAGTCCTCTCGCGTTAACTAAAGTACTAATGGAGACGAGTCTGGGGGTCTTGATTTTCAAAAAAAAAAAAAAAAAAAAAAAAAAAAAAAAAAAAAAAAAAAAACCGGTAGGGGTACGTGTTTGTGAGGCAAGGTGTGTTGTTTCGACTTTTGATGCGACCCAGGTACCCTGGAACAGACGCCGCACGTGCCGATATCTACATGTGTAAGTACCTTGTAGCCTCTAGACGATGCTTATGCCCCCCCCATACTCTGACCTTGACATCGATAAAACCAATGATATAATCCTCGAAGTGGGCGAAGCCATCGTACGTCAACTCGCTATCGAGTACTTGCCCTGAGACGACTCCATTGGCGCGCTGATGTACGACTTCATCAAGCACAATAGTTGTCTTGGTAACGTTGGCCACCAATGTCTGACCGTCTCCTAAGCTAAACGTCACGATCAATCCGTCTACATCGTTCAGTCCTATGGTCGGTAGATTTGCGGCCAATCCTCCCCACTGCTGGACATTCACGGATCCAGCGCTACACGCGACACGAATAGGCTCCCCATCCTTTGCGACGTAGGCGTACGAACAAGTCGAGTTGTCCTTCTCCGTAACCACAAACCAGACCACAAAATAGGGGCCGAATTGTGCGTGGACCCAGCCCCGAAACTTGTGCGATTTGATGATGGACTTATCGGCCCACTTCTTGTCGTTGTAACCAACGCCGTTGACGAAGCTGATGCGCTCGCCGTCAATAGTGATGTCAACATCTGCGGCGGCACCGGGAACAGCGTTGGCCCAGCAGACATAAGGCAGGAGTTCTTCGCTGACATCGGGTTCGTTTAAAGCACATAGATAGTGGGCGGGTGCGCGCTGTCTTTGATCAGCAGAATGTTGAGGCGTATGTTTAGCAGGGCTTGTCCAGCGGTGTGCCTAGAAACGCGGCGTCTATACCTTTCCACTCCCCGCGAACGCCATTCTCGTCGTTGGTAATCGTGGCTCTATCGGTAGCTTCAACAGTCTTGTGAAACCCGGTGCCATTGGAGAACGATCCGGTGACTTGCACCACCAAAGGCTGAGGTTCCTAGGTCCACAAAGTTGAAGAAGACCACCTCCACGGCTGTGCTGTCCCCAACAACTACAGGCTACGTGTCGAAGTACCAAAAGTCGGAAGTGGGGGGCGTTGACCGAGAAGTTAGCCTTTGCGCCGTCAAGACTATCGGGCAAGGAGATGGGCTCGACGGGGACTGTGTAGTTGCTGAAAGAGGGTAAGAGGTTCAGGGTGTACCCAAGTGCTGGGCGGAGTAGCAGGGCGGTGAGAGCCATGGTATAAAGGGCCATTTTGTATTTTGTGATAGCAAAGACAAAAATTCCAGGAGTGATTGAAGCCGAAGAGACAGAGACCAAGGTTGTATCAAAGGGTTTTAAGAAGTACACCACTCATTCCACGCTGCAACGTGAGAGACCCTCGGGTAGCAATTGAAAACGAGTATCACTTGCTTCTATCCAACAACGCCGCCGCAAGATCAATGTAGAACAGGACTACATCACCATCTACCAACCAATCAACCACTGCTGCCTGGGATTTCACTTTCGAGTAGTCCCTAGTAGAGGCCACGGCCACGTAGTGAACGCCATGATAGTACAGATATAAGGTATACATGAAACCTATGCGCGTATCAATCTTGGATTCGTATTCACATGGGGCCAGTACCCTCTCACCGATCAACATCAAGTTTTCTTCTTAACGGCCCCGTTAGCTCCCGATCGCAATGGTAAAGGATCTCCAGTAGTGAGTTCAAAGCGTAGATCATTTGCCCTCGGTTATCCGTATAACCTCTTCAGTCCTTCAGATCCAGACATAACGGGCTCTTGCTCCGCATTTTGTGCCCATACCTGAGGAACACGAAAGGGATGAAGGTCATGGCCAATGCTATGAAGCCAAGCATCGAACATGCCCAAGGCACGCCTAGGGTGTCATGCATCGGCTTCGCTGCCAGCGGCAGACATACGGCGCATATCGATCGTGTTGTGCTGGCAGCGGACTGAGCCGATGCCGAGAACTCTTTGTACGCATCACTTAGGTAGTTCAGCATCGACATCAGCACGAGCAGATAGCTGACACCGAACAGAACTCCCGACATCATGGGCACAACAGGACTGACGTGTATATCCGATGTCCAGCCCAGCCAGAAGAGGGCCAGAGGGATTCTGTAGTCGGATGGTTAGCGCACTTCCATAGAGCTCAGCGGATGGCTGAAGTGAAGCCTTGGCCGCACCCAGGTCCTCCTAGACATGCCATAGGCAGTCTTCGATTTTCCTCCTTTGATGCCCATTCAGCTCCTGCTTTTACAGCTCTGGTGTGGTATGAGCTGTATGCAAGGTAAATGCACAAGGCGATCAGAGAACCAAAGGCAACTTTGGATCAACGTCAGAACTCAAAAGTCGCAAACTGGTATATCGCATAGTCATACAGATTGGGTTCGGAAGCATTGACGTACCTGGTAAGAACGCCAGGCCAGCTGGGCCAGGGGATAGACCATACATACTTGAAGAAACCGTCAGCTGGTTGTGGGACCTAATTATTTAGAAGAGCAACGGACCCTGGAAGATGATTGGATACACCTGGAAGAAGAGGTATAAGACGGAGTATATCATTGCCACATAAAGTGACGTGTACAGAACGATGGGTTCATGCACAAGAATTGAGAAGGGCCTAGCGAAAATGACTTGCATCTTGCCACCAACGGTTCCGGTCTTCGAGAGGGGAGCCCGGTAGACCGTCTCGTCAACTGCCGTGGAAGGACCGACCAGCTGCCGTCCGACACTTTTATTCAGCACCGGCAGGTATGTCTCGGGAAAAAAGAACAGGGCCGGAAGTCCGGCACCAAAGAGGGAGAAGCCGATCCAAAAGGTTACGCGCCAGTCAACTACCAACGCGAATCCGGATATGGCAGGCCCTAGATGAGACCCAACAGTTGTGGCGGCCATGTAATATGCCATCGCATGTCCTCGCGTAATTGGGTCCTCGTAGATGTCGGCATAGACCCCAGGCACAACTCCATTGGGGAAAACACTACAAATCCCTGCCAACAGGCGGAAAATCAGCAGTGCTGTATACATCGGGCTCACGGCGCAGGCCAATGTGAAGATAGTAGAGCCAGTGTAGGCAACGAGGAGCACAGGCAAATGGCCGATGTATTCGCTCAGCGGTACCATAATTAGCGGTCCGATCGCATATCCGAAGAGGAACAAAGAGTTGAGCAGGACGAGGTATGTGTTTTCGATGACGAAGAAATCTTGTGTAAGAAGCCTACAGCTCCGGAAGGTAAAGAGGAACCGATTGCGCTGTTGATGGCAAACCAGATGCCAAAATTGACGATAAAGTGCTTTCGCATCTATGATTGAAAACATTAACCATTGAACGGATCGAAGGACGAGTTGAAATAGCAAGCAGACGAACGGGGGAGAATAGGAGAGGGTGTTTTGAGTATGGGAGCTCAAAAGGCTCTGGTGGGACGGGCCTCGTGGAAGACGTGGCCAACACAGGTTCCGAGCGTGTTGACAGCCGAGCCATGTTTTTCCTTCGAAGTAAAGTAGTGTTTGGCAATAACTCGTAAAAGGTCAGCAGGATGTAGCTTGAAGAACAGATGCGGAGTACGTTACGAGTATAAAATGTCGGTGACAGGCAGTCTGGCCTAGACGATCACAGTTGGTATCAACTTCTCAGGTCTGAGAAGTCTGGAATGGTGTTCTTGCGACCAACAACAGAATTTCGGGACAGAAGAGAGCAATCCTCGTAAGATGCACATGAGGCAAGCCGACATCAGCCGGGCATCTATGTCGGACATCGCACGGGAACAGCGTTATCTTGAACATAATTGTCACCGGTATCGGAGTTTGACCAGTGTTCAGTTTAGATTGGTGTTCTCGAAAACTACCACCGGTCATAGCATCTGTATGGCGGAGGCATCGATGTTGGATCATTCTGAAAAACAAGGCCAGCCAGCTTAGAGTTCGTGGTAATGCCAACATGTCAAGAACCTTCCCCTATCTTGACCTAACATACCATCCGACATTACCCCATGGCTGGCATGTCCATTCACAAGATCACACAGCTTGGTGAGAGAAACAGAAAGGAGCATGGCGGTTGGTCATTACTTCCTTCAGACTACCTGAGGGCACTCGGCTCTTGACGATGGAAGTTCAAGCAGTGCGGGCGACGATATTGGCATTGCTTGTTACAATACAAAAAGACGGTGATGCTAGTATGGTTCGGAGAGAAAGTTCCCACAAATCATCTGTCTGTGTGTTTCAGTAGAAGCGCATTTCCCAACTCCCATGTACCTAACACAGGAAGGGCACGAAGGGAGCGCATGACATCGTGACTCGTACTCAGTCTGTGGATACCATGAGATCGCTGCTAACACCAGGGTAGCAATCGCATTAGGAATGACTAGCGAAGGAGATGCCAGATCTAGAAGTACTATAAGCTGTTCCGCTTGGAGACAATACTCTCGAACCGCATATGGTAGCGAGATATTTGATCCTATCGGGATAGGTAAAGTAGTCTATGTATCGACAATTATTATGCCCATGCCGGGCTGCCGGATCTCACTTTGAGTCTTTGATGACCAGGATGCATTTTTAACGGCCCGCCCTAGTATCGTTTCTGGGTCAATCATCTCTACATATTTTGACTACGTTTAACAAGCTTGGAAGGCGTTTCCGTTGCTCTAATTGGCCTAGTTTTGAGAAGGCCGTTGTGCATTGCGTACGCATGTAAGTTGCACCGGTAGGAAAAATCACTTTCCTGCCTAGAGGACCGACTTCGGACTGGGAATCATCAGTGTCCATTCGGCATAGGTCAAGCAGCATTCCGCCCTCGTGTCACTTGGGCTGGGATCAGAGCTTCTGTCTACATTGTTCTAGCGGTTTGCATCGGCACGCCATGCATTAGCCAAGTCCCACCTCCGATCTCGTTGAGTTTTAGCAAATCGCTGAGGTAAGACTTCCACGACCAGATAGAAGGGTTGCAAAACCAAAGTCATAAACAAAACAAGCAATATCTTTCGTCAGTCAATATTGCGTACTCTTCATAGCCAAAATCAACAACGAATCGACACCCACTATGCAAGAGCCAGAGAGCAACGATCCACCCACAGCAGTCATTCTTCGACAGGCAACGAACCCAGCAGATATTGCTGCCTCCAGGAAATGCTTTGAGGCATACACGAAATGGCTAGATGAAGATATCTCGTTCCAGAACTACGCCGAGGAGCTCAGCGGGCTTCCGGGAAAATACTCACCTCCATCCGGCGCACTACTTCTTGCCATAGACTCGATGAACGGGAACATTCTTGGCTGCATCGCGATGCGACCTATCCGTCTCGACTCACGATATCTCCTGAACCGCCAATCAGATGCTCGATACTGCGAAATAAAACGACTGTTCGTTTATCCGGAGGCGAGAGGCAAGCGAGTGTCTAGACTTTTGGTCCGTGAGGTACTGCGGCGCGCGGAGGAGCAAGGGTACGACGAGGCTGTGCTCGACACAATGACCAAGATGCAAGCAGCAATCAAATTGTATGCCTCAGAGGGGTTTGAAGAAACATCACCTTACTACTATAGCCCCCTCAATGGAGCCTTGTACATGTCTAAGAGGTTGTCTAAGCTCTGAACGAGGAAGACGCATACCCGATAGGTTCTCCGAGGGAGATGCAGCATATATCTAGACTCATAGATCCCATTGGAGCTCTTTATCAGCCAAAAGACCCGTTCCTTCGCCTTGGACTCTTCCTGGAGATAATCCGGTCGCATGTTGTGGTTCCAGTGGTTCAAGAAACCTATATTGACCGTGAAGGGCAACGCGAAGGGGGGTTGCTGCGTGATGAGTCGACACTTCCGGACCTAAGAAGAGAGCCATCTTGAATTGTAACTTGTAAGTGAAGTCGGCTACAGATAATGAGACTAGAGATGCTGTGGTAGTTTCGCTCTAGACAGGATCTGTAGGATGCATCGACATCATTATAACCAACCCAGTTTCATCCTTCAAGTCACCATGAGCCTTGCCCGGGTGGCGCTCCACCCTATAGTCTACCGCGGAACTCTTATCAGGCCCTGAATAATTGGATAGACAAGACAAATTTCTCTCTCAAGGCGATGGATATCACAGAATTATCTGCGTTTGCCGAATGAGTCAACGTTCTCCTGCTCTGTTGAATGGTGGCGGAATCCTAGCTCGCAACACTCGTAACATGTTGCTGGGCCATTTGCTGGGCACTAGCCAGGCGTGGGTAGACTTCCTAAAGAAACATTTCAGGAAATAATAATCCGACTTATCGCCCCCAGGGTTTATGCATGATTCTTGGCTGACAAAGGCTAAAATAGGAGCCAAGCGTTCCAGTCGCCCTGAAAACCTGTTCAATTACATTTAGAAGCAAGCACATGTCGTCATTCGCGGAAGCTACGATGTTCACAGACAAGCTCCCAACAATCATTTAACTTGAAGTAAATACTATACAATACTGAATGATCATTTAATAATTTGAGATATCTAGGTCATGAGCGCGTCTTTTCGCCTTGTCGTAGGTTGTCGATTGAGGGGGTCTTTCTCAAGATCATCTGATGTACTAAAGATAAACCCTTAGATAGAGCCAGGCCTGGGCTGGTGTCCCCCAAATACACGAAAGTAAGGGTCGCACACCACAAAAGACTAGACCAGCGTGGCTTTGGAAGAATAAACTGCCGTATCAATGCTGTTTTCGTCGAACAGCCTCCTGGTCCCTCCCTGGATCTTTACTCAGAGCCAAGGCCAGATCCTGCAATACGCGCCCTACAAGCACCTTACAAGCTCCGCACAAGGCCTATCACCCAATCAGGTCTCCGTTTACTGACTTACATGTCAAGGGTCGATTACACTACGGTTTATACGCTCGTCAATCCCGCCGCGCCCTTTGACCTCCAGCCGGTCATCGGAGCCGGCTAACGTCGGCCACAACATAGAACAGATGGATCGGTTTCTCACTCCCCAATGTCATTATGAGCTGGGGATGGGCGTACTTTGGCAGAGATTTCAGCTCAGAGAATGAGAGCTCGGGTAGAGGCGGTTTCGCAACCTGACCTTTGAGGACGATTATCGCAGAAAAGTCTAGCAATTATCAATTACAATTCCCCGCCTAATGTATAGATGCACACACCTTGGATGATGACGAAACCTCTACGTCGCTAGTGGACCGACGTCCATACGTTGGAACAATCATATATTCCCTATTCTGATTGCAAAACCGCACGGAACCCGTGTTCACGCAACCGATGGATGCGGAATTGATTATGTGGGAAGGATCTTCTAAGTAGCCATTAAAAAGCGCCTAGCTACATTGTGATATGTTTTCGTGCCATAAGGTAGGAGATTCTGGACAACACTGTGCCTTTTAAATCACTTCGCCTGCCTGCGTCGGAGCGAAAGAAAGACCAACATCACGCTTGAACTCCTCAAGCCATAATGCATTATCCGCCGGAGTCTCATTCAATGGATCGTCGCTAAGATACACGCTGTTAGCAATGATGATACTGACGGTCTTTCAGTTCGAATAACACTCAACTCGTCGAACAAGATCCATCTTCCCTGATACCTGAGTTCATCATCTGTCGGCACGTGTCGCTCGGGGTTATTAGGTGACGTAGTCTTCATCACGTAAAGAGCAAGTTCTCTTGCTAGTCGTTGATAAGCGCTGTCGCTGTAAGAGTCCTTAGCTGACGAGGCACGCACGAGCGTGTTTCTCCCGATGAGCGTAAAGCCAGAATGGATGAAATGATCTGACGGCATCCGCAGCGAAGTCCACAAGTTTACGCCCACATCAACACCGAATGCATGACTATAGTCGGGGTGGAAGTCGGTGACGTTAGGAGGTTTCGGCGCCGAAGACAAAATTAGACGAGGGTGGGAAGCCGGAGAATTGGTAAAATCATGGTCACCCGCAACTTGAGGTCTCCATATTCGACATTCGGCCAGCTCCATGGAGGTGCCCGCGGGATCTGGGGAGGAAGATCCGGTCGATAAGCTACTCGCCTGAGGTGTGAACCATTGCGCGCCCATTTCAGTAAGACCTGCGCCTAAGCGCACTACATCTTGCCCGTTAGAGATCTCTTCGGGATGGATATCGAGCAAGTCCTTCTTCGCACGCCTCCGCAGTGGGTAGATCCACTCAGTAGATTCCCAAATAAGACGTGTCAGGAAGCCCAGCACATGCCTGGATGTAAAGAGCGAAGTGCCTTCAATCTGGTTGAGAATACGACAGGCCTCGCTTTGTATGTCGTGATCTGGACATTCGCGGCCGAGTGTGTGATGCATTCTGACGAATCTTCGAAGCTGGTCCTCTAAAGGGCAGTTCTCGAAGATGCCTTCTCCTGAATCCAAAGATAGAGGCGACTGAATATGGTGCGGGTTTCCAATATCGACCTCTCCGTCAAGCTTAACCAAGTTGGCGGGGATGAGAATATCCCGAAGCCAAGATGAGGGGGCACTCGGTGATGTTCCCCAAATCCTTTCTGCAGCCTGGATCACAGATTGACCTAGCCGGCAGAGGCCTTGATCGCAGGGGAAATCTCCTTCTTTGTCAAAGTGGCTTTGAATGTAGAGAGCAATCTCCTCTTTGACAAGTTGGTGCGCATTAGGTCGGGCTCCTGCTAGGCGTCCCGCTTCTGGGAAGGGCATAGCAGTCCTCTTCTCGTAGGGTATTAAATCTTCGTTTCATCGGTCAGCTACTTCCATTCATGCTAGTGGCTTGGGCAGGTAGTTGCGAACTCACAAGGCGGCATAGTGTTCTCCAGCAAGTCAGTGATCGCAGGGTCGAAGCCCCAATCTCCGTCCCAATCCGCCATAGTCTTGTTATGTCTGAAGTGCCTAGCCAAATGGTCCGTTCTCTCGGCCCAAGACTCGAGCCAAGCATCACAGAACCCACATCGGGAGCGGATGTCCTGACGAACGACCATCCACGATCGCATCAGCTGCTCGTTATGTGATACCTTGTGCACAGTCTGAAGGTGCTGAATGAGATGGTCCTTCCGGTAGAATGTCCGCTCGTCAAGCGGCCGGCCAAAGCATGCCTCGTCATTGTGTCTAGTCAGGTGAGCTTGGTCGGGGTCGGTCTCTCCGCAGTACGAGCAAATGAAACCTTTGCGAGGATGATCGGTTCTAGGTCCTTGGGGTGTGCATACCCACTGCTCGAAAGGTAGATGAACCGACTTCTCGTGACGTTGCCAATCGTACTTGCTCTTGAAGCTCTTGGGACAAAACGTGCATTGATAGGTGTGGCTCTGTTCCTTGCTAGACAGATAGCGAGCTGGTCGCCTTCTTTTTGCTGCAGCCTTTCTCGTTCTCTCGCGAGATCCAAACGAGTTTTGAGACCCTTGCGAGTGTGCTGAGCTGTAGGAGCCTGATCCGGCGCTGGATTGTGAGGTGACAACGCTGCCTGGGGTCCGAACAGGGTCGAAAGATACTTCAGGGTTCGTCAGTTGGTCGGTATGTCCACCAGAAAGAGCAATTGCGTTGGAAATGTCAGACAAGGACGCTGCCTCATCACTCGGAGGAGAATGCTCCCACCGCTGAAGGGGGTTTAGATGTTGATGCGGAGTAGGTGTAGGACGCCGTTGGGGGATGTTCCGCGGTAATGCAGTATCGACATCAGCGCCTGATCTTCCGGCAACGGTGCCGGAACGAATCTTGGCGCGGCGTCTTGAGTTGGCAAACCAACCTCGTATCTGCTGTCTGCTAAGACCCACGTGGTTACCGATGTGGTGCACGTCTTCAGGGCTAGGGTATGGGTGGTCGGAATGGCTGTCATACCACGCCCTCAGGTGCTTGACTGCTGCATGAGAAAATCTGCCATCGGGTTTGGTCTGGGTACCAGCTGTATCTGTGCGGTTGGGAGGGCTCACACCGGAACCTGTTGAAGACTGTTTGGTCTGAGGAGAAGGGTAGATTTTACTTTCGTCGGAGACTGGCTGCAGGCCAATATCGCCTATCAGACCTTTGCCACCCCCCGTCGGAAGAGAGAATGATGTGAGATCGCGCGGATCTACGTACTCTTCCATCACAAATAGGCTTCGGGGAGCGATTGCAGTGAGCGTTGGTCAGCCGGCGCAGTGTCTTTCGATTGTCTTGAGAAGGCAGAAAGTCCGCTTCGTTGGTAACGAATGATGAAGGTTTCGAACTGGAAATGCTTGTCGGTGGTTCAGGCAAGATGAATGACTAATTACCGAAAGCAGGTGAAGCGTGCTCACCGGGTGGGCCAAAGGTTTCCGGCGAGAGCTCGCCCCCACCGACATCGGAGGCCCATAAATTATCGGCGTCGGCCTTCCGGACGGTGATGCCGATTCCGAGTCTCATCCGGTAACAATTTTGATGAGTCTCATTAACTCCACCACAAGTTGCGAGTCTCGACAAACTCGAGTAGCTGCGTTTGGCTTTCCAATGATATCCATCTCTTCATCAGGACCCGGCCAAACTAACCTGTTAACACCAGACCATTTTTCTAAACTAAGAGGCGAGTGGCGCCTTGGCGCCTAGATGTATGTACCATAGGTATTTCTCGATGCCTGGAGGTTCAGATCTTATCCACACAGCGACGTTCGTGATGGCTTTGATTGCCATTCCAAGTCGTTGTTTTTGTAGTCGCCTGAAAATTGAGCAAGGCTGGACGGGACCGTCTGAGTCGGGGAATAGCTGCCGATATGACCGTCCTCACTCACGCCTGCTCCTGGGATGTTCAGTGGGTGATTAAATATGTAGCTAATTATTGAATCAACATCTGAAAGTCTCGGCTTGCATGTCTTTCATTGCTCTTCTTTTCTTCTCCGGCTTGTTGTATCACGATTGATGCAATGGCTACGGTCGGATATCTTTCTCCCTTGATGCCGAAAAGATGATCTCCCAACTTTCTATCTCGGCACGTCTAGTTCCAACAGGCAACAAAGTAATTGTCAACACTTTCCAGAAAATCAAACGCACCGACCATCTACACCGTGACTGCCCACTGCAGAGACCTCAGACTCGACGGCATGGAAATATCCGGGTAGTAGGCTCGGAGCCCTTGGAATCACTCAGGCTACCCAGTACTAATTACATCATGTAAACTCTACTTGGTAAGCTTGCCACTGAACTTCGACCTTAGCGCGCTCTTGATGGGTGTCTCCTCTGTCCTCATCCTAATCAGAATACTGAACGGTAAATCATTTGTGTAAGGCCGATATTCGTTCGTTCTCTCAATGAAGTAGACCAAAACATCTTCGCAGTCCCTCTGTCAGAAGATCCAAAATCCACTTCAATTGCTCCTAATGCATCGGCACAACCTATTTGAGTTCAGCAGAATCGGCACGCTTATAGTAGCAGCTAAACGCTAGTAAATTGAAACGCAGAAACAGTGAAGTCATACACGTTCTCAAAGCCACCGCGCTGCATTGTCTCATGGGTGCCCCTGGAGGTGGTCTCAGTGCGTTTACAAGCTTCCGATGGCAGGGCTTGCTCCTGAGTGATTATCAAATCCGGGCATGCTGATTGTCCTAAGTCATGGAGTTGAATTTGACGTCGGATGGGAGCCTTCAACATTTTTCATACAAAACTCTCCCTCCTGAATGTGGACGAGTAATCAATACTTGACTTCCGACGGCACCCGGGCGTAAGACACGAATTCGGATGGAATCCAATCTGGCGAAGAAGGTAGTCCCTGGGTTTTCTTAACAGCTAGCAGAGACGCAAGTCGAACTTAAATTAAGCTAGACTTTTACAACTCTGTGAACATACGGTTGATCGATATTAGAGATGCATCTGTGAGATTTTGTTGATCCATCATCGAGATATTTATTTATCGATGATGACAATATCGCTGGGTACTTACGAAGGGAAGGGAAGGTATTTTGAGAGCATTGACGACTAGGTAAGCAACATCATGTACGGAAGTTCTGATCTGAAGCAGCGGAAGTGATCGAGGAATCTGAGTGACCAGATGTTCTCGTACGGTGATTGCCTATCTGATCCAGTAACATGCAAACGATGCAATAAGTGTTGCTGACGAGGTAATGTACATATGCCGGTCATGAATTCGACAATGCGTGTTCTATGTCTCATTGAAAATGAACTGCTGCTCAGAAGACACAGCCGGGAATAGGAAACACCAACCGGGGGTTGAAAGTAACTGAAAGTCCGCCAAAGTCGAAGCCGGGGATTGAGGCTTAGAATACTGCCGATATTTGCTTCCGACGGGAGGGTTACAGTGGTTGATTCCATCGGACACCATCGTATTAACAAATTGGGTATTCCGGACTTTAGGTTCCATGTTCAGTTGGGACAGGTCTTGTGACGTTCATCTCGTTTGGTTCATGTCGGCGTACTCGCCGGTTCGGCGAGCGTACCGGGAACCCCTTTTCGCAAGACCAAACTCACGATCTGGATCACACTACTCCGTACACACACGAGACCGAGTGAAGCCAACTTAGTTTTCCGGTGTCTCGATCTGTAATCATTTCGTGATCGGCCAAGACTTGGTACGAGTCACGACGAGTCCGAAAACGGCAGCTTAGGCATCGGCCCGGAGACATCGCAACCCAATCTTCCCAACTATACTCACCTGGCAGACCGATGAGGGGTTGAACCTCCACTCCTCCCCTACGTTTTATCGCGAGTGATGTTGGATGCAAAGTGCAGCATAAGCACCAAGATACACAGTTCATGTTATATCGTGTGCACATTCAAGAACCTGGACTGGGACAGCTGCCCGGCCTAAACTCCCCGATCTTCAGACAGAGATGGAACATGTCAAACAGCATAGCCTCTACAGGACAGGATACTTTCCGTTCGCCTATGGCTCTGGAGGCCCCGTATTGCTATTGCCATCAGCCACAATTATCTCGCCTCAATGATGGGTCTGTCAATCTCGCCGTCCCCAGCTTTTTGATTCGCATTTCCCCTTAGCCCAAAGACGTTGGGCATCACTGCTCCAGTTTCAAGCTTCAGGCCCCCATCTATCTAGCTGTGGAGTTGAGAGATCTTCAGGGACTTTGAGCTACACCTAAGTCTTAGCAAGCGGAAACGTATTGTCCGCATGTTGTGGACTTGTTCCAGTGTGGTGTAGATACCGCCTATCATTGCTGCATCTGCCTTGAATGGAGCAGCGACCCGAACGGACGGCAGGGTGGGTCGATCCTTCGGCCAAGGGATACGGTGGAGAGATCTGGCGAGAGGGAATCGATTGCCGTTTGACTGCCGTGGATCACAAAAGCAGTGGTGTGCGAACGCTTCAATCACACAAGAACTGAGCCGAGGAGACTCAGAGTATCCCGAGGAGTTGTGACGTGCCGGGCGGCTGCATCCTTCAACAGTCTCGAACGGGAAACATGTCCTTTGGTGCGACCTTGAGCCCACCCTATACCGCGAACCCGAGAGTGATATATGATGGCATGCCAAAATTCTAGCGAGGTCTCGTTGATGCATCGCCGGTCAAGGACCCAAAGTCCAGGCCAGAATACGGTAGGATTCGTACTCCCACCTTACCCACCCCTTAAGCCCCTGTCATTCTTCAGCAAGCTGCAGTCTGCATCGCCTAGGTACCGACAGGATCGCAACGACGATCTCCGTGTAATGTACCCGGCCAAAACCAATCAATCATGAAGCTTCGGTTGAGATGATCCCGATGGATATTCGTGCATAACCAAGTTCGCCAATCAACGGAGATCGCGGCGAGGCACACATCGGAGAGGTCCGCCTCTCTCGCAGGTTCGGTACGAGGACGGCGTTTCAGCGGCCTGTCAAGGGTGTGTGAACGATGTATCCTGCCGGCAAAATTGCACATCTGGGGCAATATTCCCGCCGGGCGGTGTCACTGATGATGACAGTCACTGTCACACACACACTCTCTCTCTCTCTTTCTCGACAGCTCTCCCCACAGAGGCAGACCAGACGGATGCGGACGGCAGCGGGCGGTGGGACGAACCGTTCAGGCGAACCAGCGTGCCGGCGCGAAAGCGAAGGATGGGAAAGTAATCAACGCGCATCCATGTTTTCTTTTTTTCCCGATGGGCTTGCTGTGCAATGACTCAGTTGACGGCAATTCGGTCGACTCACAAATCCGTCCTTTCTATCACACTGGACTACGGATACGTACTGAAGGTGTAGGAATCAATTGTACTCTGTACAGTCGCAAGCTCGCCGCTTATTTGCTTCCGAGAACACGGTATTTGAACGGAGGACGTCGGGATAGGCCCGAACGAAGAACGGACGAAACTTCCGGGTCAGCTCCAAGGAACATAGACTTTGACGATCCAGACTAGCCGACGTATTGACACGAGGAGGCTGACTGACCGCGTCAAAATACTTGTTTCTAGCTCGTGGAATCTGGACTGCATCTCCCGCGTTCCTCAGTCATCCGTAGCACATGTTCTTTCGAATAGCAACTGCATACCTCGAAGCCAGCGGGTCAAGGGGTGGCTGATGTGTTGACGCACATCCACATCGCGATCGGCCACGTCAATCTCCATTGCGGTCACGCCCCATCGTCGCTCGACCTCTTCGCCCCCTCACAAAAGAACAAGAAGAAGACAATTTCGCGCTTCAATCATTTTACGTTACAGCGGCCGGACAGGAATGGGGCCCGGCTGTGGTGTTTGATGAGAGCCCCCTCCCATTCCACCTCCAGGGCAGAAAAGAGTCCATATCGGAAATAGAGCCTGCAATCCTTTTACGAATCAGATTCCGGAACCATGTCATTGGGAACCCCCGAGACAGCCAGGCGGATCACGCGTTGATTGGCCTAGCAGCTCGGAGCACTGGGATAGAACGGTACTGGCGTCAGCCACATATGCCAGCCGAGCCAGGCTGCTGGGACTTTTTGCTGCCCTGGATATAGCTGCCGGGGCGGCAGGCGAGATTTGACCCTGTCGTGGAGTTCTTAGGAGGGGGCAATGAATGGGTATTCTGTACTCCGTAGGGACGAGATGACGAATGGCGCTGACTCCCTGCTCGCTTCCGAGTCCTGACAGATGACGGACGCCATCGCCGGTCGCCAGCTGAGAGAGAAACAGAGAGGAAAGAAAACTCTGCGCCAGAGGGACGGAACCGCCGGTCGTGATCCACGGCGCTACCATCAAGCGAAATCCACGCTCAGGCAGGGCACCAGAGAGGCAGAGAGAATGGACACACCGTCACACACACGCGCAACCCACTGAGAGTAGTAGCATGATTGTGTATCTGTACGCCCTGCGACCGCCGAAAGTGAGGAGAACGAATGATCGACTGCTTCGAGTCCCACCCGGACGGAGTTGACCGCTGGATCAGCACAGAGCTATCGAAAAGAAAAGGAGGAGGCCACCGATGAGGCCATCGCAGAGCGCGGCATGAGGGTGAGAGTGTCTCCCTGCGTGCCAGTGGGAGCATGTTTCAAAATCATCAAAAAGTTTGGTTCGATACTTGATAGCAGCGTCGGCTATTTTGGACTATCCCGCCCTGTCTCCTGTGCAGTAGTATGATGCCGGCAGGATATCTACATCACAGGACGGGTTTGATTATGATTAGGGACAGGATTTTGGTTAACCCAGCATACCAGGTAACGTAAGGTAACCGGGGCTTTCGTGTCTTGGGTTCTTCAACCCGCTCCTCCCACGCGCTAGAAGCGAGCTAGAAACCTCTGCCTGGGATGTCAACTTCTTCAGAAGGTCGAGACAACGGCCTCCCCTCGCCTGACTCGTCGAGCGGTCAATCTCACAACCTGCGTGCCCGACAGGGTCACGCTCGTGACAATCTTTAGCGGGCCACAAACCCCTGGGCGCAGCTTGACCGGTGTGGAGCAGGGCACTCATCGAGTGCTCTTTGCGGTCAAGAGGATTTGCAAGACGCCCGCACCACTGGTCCCCTCGAAAGTTTAAACTGCCCAGGGGCCGGGGATAGGCCCAAGGGTCTGCCATCTTCACTCGGCCGTTGAATGCTTGGTGGTCTTGTACTCTAGAGAGCTTCTTGAATTTCACCGGTTGGCTCGGACATATGGAAAAGAATGGTTTCCTTGCATACGTGCTTACGGCGGTACTGAAGTTATCGAAAAGGACATTGGGTTCTGGGCGTTTAGGGTACACCGGTCAGACATATCGGTCGTAGCTTGGTGGCATCAACATTCGATCTCATCATCGGGCGAAGACTGGAAGCAATTCGTCCGACATGCCGAGAGAACAGCTGACTTCCTTCCGCCTCACATTCTCTATTGAAGACCGGCACCTGCCGATTGCAAGATAGAGAAGAAGGATGGGGGTACAGATATGTCATATTATCAAAGCGCTGACGTGCAGAGATGAGCCCGCGGGCATCGTCATGTCATTGAAGCACAGAGTTCATGCTCAGGTCAAAGCGAAAGACGCACCCGGGCCACACTGAGACCTACGTCTCACGTGAAGCACCGCCTTCTGTCGATCCTGATAGAACCTCTTGGGGGTGGATTTGGCGCTTAGAGAAACGTCGGATCCGCTCGGAGAAGACAACGTCGGAGAAAAGCATCACGGCGGGCATGTCGAGCCGCGGCTCTTCTCTGTGTTTATTATTCTTTGGAGTACATCTCCAGCCAAGACCGAGACATCAAAGTATCGTCGTTCCCGAGAAAGCAACGCAGGCGGAAAACCGCGGGCCCCGACCCGGACGGCAGCATCGAGCTCTTCCCGACACTTGGCGGACATGGCTCTTTCTGCTCTTGGGGCAGGTAAACTGACGTCGTGCTGTCGTCTTCTTTGCAGCATCGGCGAGATCGCCGAAAAAGTCAAAAAGCATAATGAGGTTAACTTGCTGCAGGCTCAAGCTTTGCGAGGGGTGAAGAGTGAAGGGGAAGGGGGTTTGGATCGTTGGAAGATTTCCGTTGCAGCATTTGGCAGGCAGCGCACGGTCGATCCGGTCCAGGATAGAACATGGGCCAAATAGTCACCTACTGCGTAATGATGCTTCCCCTCTCCCGAATTGTTATCCAGTACTTCGTACTCCGTACGGATACCTTCAACAGAGCCGGCATCAGCCGGTGACAGGTATGTTGAGTCAAGCGCATCACTCTCCCGCAAATCTATCGAGAGTCGAGACCTCTCGAGACGAACCCAAAGGGCCAAGCGATGATTAGGTTGCGGTGGGATGTAAAGGGAACGACTGGTCATCCCCCCCTCTGGCTTCATTCAACTTCTTGACCGTGGTGGGTCAAACGGTAAACTATCTTCATCGGTCTGGCGAAAAAGAACGCCCATCACGTTTTCAACGGGTTCGAACGGGCAAGCTCCTTGCTAAGCACGAGGCGCTACCATCCATCCGCGATACTACCGGTGACGGGGCCGGGCGGCAAGCGGCCGGGGGCTGACGGAAAGGGCTGCGCCGGTTGATGAATAGTGGAAGGGGAGAACCGTCGACCAGTGGCTTCCCCGTTGAATCGAATGACATTTTCCACGTGGTGAAAGGATAGCCCCGTCGGTAAAACGCCAGCTTGCGGAGGCTGCGGAGCGAAGACGAGCACACACAAAAGACAAGGCGAATTTGAAACCTCCCCGAGAATGGGACAATAGTCCACCTATCTAGGAACGCCTAGCGGCAAGTCCCATGTCCGCAGTGGGGAGCCACATAGAGCCACTTGGAAGTTCTCGGATACGAACAGGAAGTGGGTGAACGACGCCACGCGAGCAACTGCAAGTTGCGAGGTGTGACTCTTAGCTCTCAAAAGACCCTGGATAGGGTAAACGGAAAAGAAGAGATGGATACGATATCAAATCAAAGAGCACACAGTATGCGTTTACTAGGAAGATGTCGTCAGTCCAGTCACATAGAAGAAGCGGTGACCTTATCAATCTCGTCGGAGATGATGGCCTCTGCACCGGAGGATCCAGGTTTTCGCTAGCGTCGGCACCTTGAGGGACAATTGGAGCTTGGAAAAAGACAAGGCTCACGCAGTTATGAACGGATACTGCCCTCAGCGCTGGTCAGGGCGAGTAATATGGTACGAAATGGCATTGGGATGCGCCTCTCCGTCGTTTCGCCTTGACAAACGCCTTCTGAATGATCTCCGCAAGACAGGGGCTGGGCCACGTGCAGACCGATGGGCTGTGTCCCAAACTCTCGCCCATCGATCTGGTTGAAGAAATGAAATAAACGAATATATGAGAAAAGGTGACCTGACAATGACATGGTCTGGCACGCCCACGCCTGGGTCAGACGAGAGATAGAGAGAGAAAGAGAGAGAGAGATGTGGGTGACAGAAGACCTGTGGACTGCCGAGGCATAACATGGATGGGGATGTACTTATGCCCCCGGGCCCTGCCACAACGACGACGCACAAAGACATGCATAAGTTTGAACCCCAGTATACCTATGCCCATTGCATGCGACGGTGCGAGATCCAGAGACTGGGTGGTCTGGGCAGATACTTTCGAGTTTCCGTGCTTCTTGTTACATTTTGCGGAATATTTTTGACCTCAGCCAAGCCAAGAACAACGTCTGTTTTGCAACTGAAATCTTTAAATGAACTTCTCGTTCTCTCATCTCATCGTGGTGAAAGTGAGGCAACTAGCTTGAATATCTGCCCCAGAATCACTAAGTCGTTCTCGGAAAGCGTTCAGCTGTCACACTGCAGCCATGATGCCCGTTCGAGAGATGACTCTAGACTCCAGAGTCTCATTAGACGTGGGCAACGCTGCCTTGACTCGAGTAGCGCATTACCATAACCTCCGGCATCTATCCGTACGGATTCCGCCAGGGGATTTGTCTGAACTGCCCGTTGTGCTCGACGTCGACTGTCGAACCGTTCTTGTCAATACCGTTCGTGCGTGAAGCCAAGCCCTGCGTCGGCACCGCGCGGCTGCGCCAGCCAGCATTTGCGTTCTGCATCTACCCTTGCTGTGCTGCATCGCTTTCTCTTTCTGTGTCAGAACTGCCTCCTTCTTCACGTTCTCGACGCGAGTGCGGGGAGTAAACTTGTCAATGTACAATGTACCAAGCTCTAGGGTCATGCACAAGAGTAACGTACTCTCAACCTTGGGCTCTCGTCATTACCCCTGTCCGACTCTGTAGCATCGAAGTCCTGAGTTCCCAGCCCAGGTGACGAGAATAAGATCAGGGAAGCTGCATTGTTGCCCCCCTCAGTTGCATTTCAATCTGGCTTTCGTCTCTGAGTTAACGCGTTCTTGCCCTCCTCTGCACCCCTTGATCGTCTCGATTCTCAGCTCTACCGCGGTCACTGACGACTCACACCCAGACCCCTTGCACAAGGGGGAGGGTCCCCGGCGTATGTCCCAGCGGTTTCTGGGCCTTGATGGCACGCAGCGAGAAGCGCACGTTCTCCTGCTTCCATAATCCCTGCCGGGAGCTTGAAAGTCATGTGTCTGGGGACCCATTTCTGATTCGTAATTGGTGAAGACTGAAGTGAGTCCTGGCAAGGAGACGACAGAGAAAGAGAGCAGAGAGGCAACAGCCAGCGCAAGTGCATCGCAAGCAAGGCACCTTGTCGAGAGAGAAGAGCCGTGAAGACGCACTAGCGTCAACATCCCCGACCAAATCTCCCAACATGGTTAGTTTACTCACTGTGAGGAAACTCTCTTTTCTCTGCCCTCCTCCTTCTGGTATGGCTTGGTGTTTAGCGTCAGCTCCTCGGTGTTGGCCAAGGATCACCAACCGTCCAAAGTCCACACGTCCAGCAGCTTAACAGCTGCCTGCTGGCTCGCTGGTTGTCCATCACCTCCCAGTCCGTCCCCCGTTTTGCGTGGCCCTCCTCCTCAAATCTTGCTCCTTCGTCGAATAGAAGCTCGAGAAGGGCAACGCAGTTTTAGGGGACGAGCCGGTGCCTGTTTCGCTATCTCTGGAGTCTTGCCGTCCGTGAAGAAGGATCACCCCTGGCGCCGACTAGTCTCGAGAGCCAATTTTGGGCAAAACTGCCCTATGGCAAGCCATGTACGTCTGGCGTGGAAAGCCAACTCAAGCGTCGTTATGAATTGTTTGGCTACCCGTGGTGCCCGGCCGGCCACCAGTAGCATAGTACGGGTCCACCTAGTGGGTTTCCGTCCCCTTTTCCTCTTTCCACAAACCATGACGCTGAGAGCATCAATGGCTGCACTGGTGACATAACAGGCAAAGGTTGCAAAGCAGCACGCACACCAGCGCGGAGTGGCAGATGTTTAGCCACCAAGCCAAACGAGACCAGACCGAGCAACCGATGAGAAAACGGAGCCACAACAGGCGAGGAAACAGGGATAGTTACGTAGACACAGCGCGCCGCCGGTCTGGTATGCGTGCCTGGGATGGTGGGAAGTTGGAACGGATGTGTGCCTTGCTGTGTAGGTTCCTTGCTTGGGCTTTGGGTCAGTTTACCCCATACGTGACCGACGGACAGACAGACAACATAGCCAGTGCTGTGCAGCGGCACCGTGTGCGACTTGAAGTGTGCGTCTATGTATCCGTATGGATACACTATTCCTACGTGGAGGAGGGGGACTCGGGCACACACTCCCCCCAGGACGGCCCAAAAACCTAAGCACACCCCCTCGGACCGGGCCTGAGCCTGAAGGGATTGTGCTCCAAGAGGGAACGAGCAAGAGCCTGAACACTGCGCGTACCCTTTCTATTCGTCTACCGCATCATTTGTCTCTTTCTGCCCGATCCGTCCGTCCTGCTCTCTCTCACTCCAGAGTCCAGGGCACCAAGGTCCAGTGGCCCACGGCCTGGCTTTCTAACCTTCCTGGAGCCCGGCAAACCAGAGAGCAAGGGCCAAGGGGGCAATCATAATTCTGGGACCATGATGCTTGCTCATCTGCCCGCCAGTCTGGTCTGCCTTTTGGGCCCCCGCCGGCTCTGGCTCTGGCTTGCTCAGGACTCAGGCTTGTTTGTGTCTCTCTTGCTACTCTCACTTGTCTCTGCTACCGGCTCGCCCTCTTCCTTCTCTCTCTCTTTCAGTCTGTCTATCAGTCTGGTCTGGCCCTCCCACTCACCCCCCCCCCCCCCCCTTCCTTCGTCCCGTTTACCTTACATATACCTCCGACGTAGCGGTACTTGTTCTATGGCCCTGACCTTGCAGGACAATCCCAGGTCCATTCTTTGCGTGGGCTCCCTGAGCGTCGCCCACTGACTCCATCCATCAAAGTCTCCAAGCACCAGGCCATCTATATACAGAACCTCCAAGCACCTCTCCCACACACTCTTCGCACCTCTCGCTTTGTTCCCATCCGAATCCACACTCTCGACAACACTTCACCCCGACCTTTAAATACAAACGTGCCCACCCTTTTTTCGACTTTGGCGACGGCTTCACCGTGTTTCCAGCTCTATATCGATCTTTTCTACCATTCTTGTTTCTCGTCTACCAACGTTTGAATCCTCTCACTCACCAAAGCCCGTATCTTCCGGCCACCACACCCCCCTGACTGGACGACTCGGATCCCCGCCTACACCGTACTCAACCCATTTCGACTAATACCCGCCGCCTGGGTTTTTTTCTGTCGCCTTCGGATCTACCTCCGGTCATCACGTCCCACCAGAAAACTACACAACACCCTGAAGCAGCAATGTGCAACTACACTCAAGTACGTCCTGTCCGCCAAACACGCACGATCTCAACGATGAAGGATACTTGGTATACACGTTAGGACTGGAAACTGACATTTATCTGCTTCACAGAGAGAATTTCACTGCGGCCACGTCCGCTGGATCGTCTCGCGGTGGTGCCCCGTCTACACTCGCACACAACGACGCTGCCCTCCGTGTGTGACACATTTTGAGTACAGGTACGTCCACATGATTTCCTTTTCCCTTCACCATGCGTCCCTTCTTGAAAATCTCTACGGATCAAACCGAGTCATTTTTGCTCGCCCTTCCTCTCTGACTCTGCTATTGAACAAAATACTGACGTGCGTCAACCACAGGGGCGATGAAGTTTGTGGTATGTTTCCTTCTCTCCACGGCAACGCCGTCCTCCATCCTTATCCCTCAATCTTTCTTTTTCTCTTGGAGTAGATCATCCCCATTCTGCCACGCTGGGCAGGGGTGCGTGCTTGTGCTGTGTCTGTCTGCTGCCACGGAAATGGCAATGTGCCTCCAACTCCACTCAAACTCCAAGCACCTGGAATTGGGACTGGCATGGGGGTGTATGGGCAGGAAATTTGGCACGCCCAATGTCCCTCTTCCCCCTCCCCCCTCCCCTCTCCAGGCCAGAGAGAGAGAGCAGAGCGAGCCAGTGCATCGATCACAGACACAGCAGCAGCACCTTTCTCCCGTGTGGCGGTTGATGCGGTTATACTCTTTCTTTTTCCTATTGCTTTTCTTCCTTTGCACCCCTATTCTAGACTTTGGGACTAACATGTGTCTCATCGCAGGCGAATGCAAGCCTTCAGCACCGATCGTGTGGGAGAGCATGATTAGACGTAACAACACGCCCGTCGGATTATAAGGTCATCGTCGAACGACACCGACGAGGCTTGCCATCATTCCCTTTATTCACCACTTTGTAGACAACATTCCGATCCAGAATGGCCCACGCCCGGGGTGCAGATCCGGTCTGCGGCACGTTCTGTCTTCCATCACATCTCACATCCTCCCTCGACCGCTTTGGCTCCGTCCCTCCGGCCTCTCGGGACAAAGCTCATCACCAAAGAGATGCGATGAGAGAAGGATTGTGCAAGACAATTTCGTCAAAATTTTCGCCTATACCAAATTCTTCTACTTCAACGACTTTTGGTGCTTGGCAACTTCGAGGAAGCGTCGCGTCACATAGCCACACAAGCAACACGCCAAGCATGGCCCTAGTCAAGGGAACGGCGACCTGCTTCGAGACGACAATTACACGGTACCGGCGTATTTGGCTCCGGAACCATCACCAACCTTGGCTTGGGCACATCGACAAAGCTGCATCGCGCTAAGGCAGCCTTCCGCGACATTTTGTCCATATGGAACGGGTCTTTTACCAAGGACCGACACCGTCTCCAATTTGAATTCCCGTCTGCATGGCTACGACAGGACCGGTGGAGGGATGATGGCTGCATACACGCAGCAAGAGGGGAACGGATGAGGGGTCTCGACCACGTTGATCCCACATGATGAGCCAAGCAACACATTCGCATGGCTCATATTGTAAGAGGAGGAATATTTCATCATTGGCAGAGGGGAAGGGAGAGCGAGATTCTTCGGGGAAAAAAGAAAACACAGCAAGGTGCAAACCTGCATCTCACTCACGGCGTTTGCGAATTCGAGCATTGCGGACAGGAAGTTACGGCGCTGATACGGAAACGAGCATTTCAACAATTTTCCTTTTTTTTTTTGGCAAGAGACGAGTAGGAGGAAATACACCTAGAGGCGGGAAAACAACACAGAGCAAACCGCCCACACAAAACCAGCAACAACTTTGTGTGAGCACGAGGATCAACACCACTCGGAGAGAGTGCGGAAACATGGGTATTTTGGACGGGAGGGTCCGCAAGGGTGGGAAGCAAAAGAAGAGACGGCGTCGCGGACTATTCAACTTTATTCGGGCGACTACGCCGACCACGGCACCGGGCTAGCGGCGGCTCTCCCCGGTCAGCAAGACGAGACGAGACGGTCTACCCTCCATCACGGCTCCTCTCGCTCAGTCTTTCCTCTGTCTGTTCATGGTCGGTCAGGTCGTGCATTAGCCGACGTGGCCCGCGTCTGTCTCGGCTCCCGACTTTTATCACCACTCACTCCTCACTCACTCACACGCGTTGTGACAAAAGCACTCAACGGTCTTTAACCACAGACACTTGGCAGCATTTTCATCCGGCGATGGTTTCATTTTGTTCTTGTTTCCGGGGTATTTCTGTTTGCAAAGCAGGAAATGTAAATTGGAGTTTGGGACAAGGCACAAGCATGTTTTTTTTTTTTTTCGTTTATCCTGTCACCGCACGGCGGACTGGTCAACGGGAGTTTGCATACACATCTTTTTTAGTTATTTTGCTTATGGGCGTCTTGGATTTCCCTACACCCATCACCATCTTATGTGGTGGTGTAGAGGGAGATGACCGCAAACAACTTTTCCTATACTTAACATACCCACCAACACCTCGTCACACTTTTTCACCAAACAGATGGATGCACTTTGGCAGTACAGCACAAACGGCGCAGTAGCGCTGATACCAGAAAAGAGAATTGAGAAAACTTAGATACCTACTTAACACTGATTGCGTGTTTCCTCGTCAAGCCTTTGCCCTTTTGAGCGAAAGTGCCTGTCTCTCGTGCTCATGTGCCTTAAATGCTTCCCAAAGTCGCGGCTTCGCACCTCGCAGAATGTGGGTTTCCGTGATACTTTCTGAGGATTACACACTACGGAAGAAAGCGCGGGAAAAGGTTCAAAGTGCGTGCAGTAGCCGACATTGATGATTCTGCAGCGTCCAACCGCCTTGTTCATCATATCCCCCGCACGTACACAGACATACATGCACAACTGACACATTTCATCCATCCCACCCAGAGTGACTCTCCATGGCCCTACCTACCTCTTCAGATACATCCTTGAAGGTGAGATGACAAGGCCAAAAACATCCGGACCACAGAGAAACTAGAGCAAAACAGGGCCTCCATATACCGAGCAACTAGGACTGGGCAAATTCTACCGCTTTGGGTACACGCAACGAGGGTTACATGGTTCGTGAAAAAAAAGCGTGCTAATTATGAGGGGATGATTGAGGAGTGGGACTGGACTAATAGGTACTTCATGGGCCATTCATTGCAAGGCGAGACACGACAGGGCTTGACAGAGAAGAGTGGAGAGGGGGGTCTTTCTGTTAGTTCGACCACTACGAAGTACACACACGTCACAGGGTTTGTGCTTGATGTGCTTAGTGCTGTAACGTGTGGGAGGGAACAGAGAGAGAGGGTGTGTGAGTGTATGTCTGTCTGTCTACATGTGTGTGCAAGGGGAGGGAGGCACGTACGCGCGAGGAGGATTGACCGGTGAAGCTGCAGTGCGGTGGCCCGCCGTCCTCTCGTTGGTCGTCGGTTACGAGGTCTGCCGGGCAAAGCGTGAGAAATGCAGACCGAACTTATGGACAATGGGACTGGTGGGAAATGAGACAGGTGATAGGGGATCAGGATGGCGAGCTGGTGATGTCGGGCAATCTTGGGTTTTGCTGCGCTGTGCAAGCCTGCGTTTGACCATGACCAGGAGCAAACGCTCGAGTTTTGGGTTGCTAAGAAACAAGCGGCGGGTAGTTTTCGTTTGAGCGGGTGGTGATGGAATCAATGGCACACACACATACGCAAACAAGACTGGACGCTGACGGCCGTCAGCCATCCCTTTGCGGCCCGATGCCGCCCACTCTGGACTGACCGATATTACAGACTAGAAGTCCTCGGTGAGGGATCAGGTGAAGAACGATTGGAAGTACAAGGGTGCCGGACGAAGGAGCGACTCCCACGGCATCAGACGGGGTGCTGGGGTGAGAGAACGTTTCGTGGAACCCTTCAGATTTGTCGATACCGTCAGAGAAAAGAAGCCCCCCCCCCGTCTATAGATGCCATATCCAGGTTGGCTCATGGCACGTATTTGGGCATTCTTTGGGTCCCGCAAGCCACCACGCTGTTCTCGAGCAGTAGCGTGGTGGTGGTTGTCTTTGGAGGTTCGGAACTTGGAACAGCTTGACCTGCCCAACGTGGGAGAACGTGGGATCAAGAAGGGAGAGGGAGGGGGTGGGGGTTAGTGGCAGTTAGTGTGCACGACGGGGATACCAGATGGTCATCTGAAGGTGTTTCGACGTGCCTCCCGCGCGCTGCCCCCATCAACGATATTGATGAATGGTGCGAGGTGAGGTTTGCGTCGTGGGGTGTAAGTGAACAGTGGCGATTCTGTGCTAGAAGTCAAGTTGGGCACACAGGACCATGTACACGGCTCCCTCTAATTTGTCTAGGGAGACACGGTTGCTGGCAGTTGGGATGCCGTGCATTGCATCGCAGCTCAGCTGATGAGAGAAAACAGGGTCGGGCACTGTCCAGCGCAACTGTACAGGAGAGCAGGAGCATTACAGATACGATGATGATATATCTGGCTACCTGCACGGATACATTTGATGATGCGCTGCGAGGCAGACGCGAGACCACATCAGGCACGGCGAGCCGCTCATTGGCGTACCTTTTGGGCGCTGTGCGACACTGTATGCTGTCTCTGGCGCTCTCATCAATTTGTCTTATGAGCCGCGAGGCGTTTGGCGCAAGGCGTTCGAAGATGTCTTGGGCGTTGGCATGGCACATCGCCTATTCGATGTACACATGAGGCGCGCGCGTGCCTGTGTGGGATAAGTGAGATGTTCTTGAGGGGTGAGAATTTGTTTGTTGTACAACAAGCTCACTCACTCACTCATTGTGAGTACGAAAGTGAGTGTAAGAGTAAGCCTGATGAGTGAGACAATCCCCATGCTGCTCATGACGATGGGGCATTAACACTCACACACGTTTCGACCCGATGTCCGGTGGCCTCTCCGAACTGTACAAAATACTCGGCCTGCTTCGTCTAGATGGGTTGAGAACTTCTGGCAGCACGCGCTGGTTCTGGCCACTCTAACGGCGTTCAGCCAAGCGACATTGGCAATGAAAGGCTTCCTCGGTTGGCCCAACGGCGCCGTCCGGCGTAGCCCGCAGAAACGAACCACATGGCAATCTAGCCTAGCCCAAGCTCCAGCTGCCACGCCAGGCGATCAATATCGCAACCTGCTCAACTTGGGTGACCGGTGAAGCTGTGGATCTTTTTCCTTCCCCTCTCAGTCTGTCACTCTCTGCGTCAATTGCAAACGGCTTCGACGCCAAGCCGGCTACGCTGGATAAATCCGTTGTCAAGCAGCATGCGGGTGTCAAAGAAGCTGCGCGTTGCAGCAAGCAAGCGGCTTTTCTCATCCTGCACCTCGGTCGTCATGAGGCATCTTTGGCCCCGGGGTAAATGAGAAGGGTGGGCTAAAAACGGATGTTTGCCATCATTGTAGGGCTAGCCGTACAGAGTACTTTCGCAGCGGTTGGTCTGTTCTTCAGCCCGCATTTTGATTGCATTCGCGCCGGATCATCAGTGCATTGTACCTATGTAGGGCAAAGGCTAGTGACGCCCTCGCCGAAAGCTTGGGTAGAATACACCTTTCGTGTATTTCCAAGCACACGAGCTCACGTAGCAGTCAAGCACTACCGGATATCGTGGGGTTCAGAAATGGGCAGAGTGTTACTCAAGATACCTGGGCCTGCTGTGTACCTGTACTCGACGCTCGGTTTCCGCCGCCGGTTGAGGTGAGGAAACTGACTTTCAGTGCTGAAGCTCTTCACACCCTTTCCCTGTAGAATGCGCTGCTGCATGGAGCTATGGCCATTGGACGGACAGGGCCGTTGCATCCCATCCCACATTCACGTCACAGCGGCAGTTAAAGTAAGATGAGATGCCGGGGTGAGACTGTCATCTTCTCGTCAGAAATTGACCGGTACGGATACAGGCCCAACAGACGAAAAGCTTCCATGTCGCAAGCTCGCAAACACGCAAGCAATTGAGTAACCCGGGATGATGAGTTATTCTGTTCGTAAATTCCAGGGATGTCATCCTGCACTTGGATGCTTGGGCCGTGGAAAAGAGTTTGTCTCTCAGTCATAGGCTATGGCAACTTGATCAGGTGTGCAACCGGTGAAGGGCTCGAGGGGTTTCCCTCACAGGCCGAAAACGTCGCATCTGCCCCCCCTCACTCTCTGCCTCCCCCATGGTGGTCTGCTTGCCCGTTACGCTTGTCACATATCATATCCCCTAGTAGATCTGATGGGTGCTAATCTGCCGTCACTAGCCATCTTGTCACCTTCTTGAATGGTAAAACACCCCTAGACGAACAGAGCGTCTCCGGATGCGCCTAGCTGCTGAAGATAATTGTGATAAGGTTAGGCGGTGCTAGGTCGATATCGTTTGAGTGGCATGTCGTGACAGCATCTTTCCTCTGGCCGGGCTATGATAACCATCTGCCAAGGAAGAGAGTGTAGGATGGTCCTTGGACAACTCGACTGGTTTCGGCGCGTCTGATGCCGGGACTCTGCATTTGGTGGTTTGCGCGGGATCCTCCCCATTGAAACGACTCTCGAGGTTGCCCGTCACCTGATTGACTTTGGCTGCGCCATCAAGGCCAAAATGCAAACCAGCAAGCCACCCCCGAAAAGCATGCGACGGGCAAGCTTTCTGGGCCGGACACTCACTCATCGACATCCCTGGGCTTCGTTCCCCCCTCACTCTCCCCCCTCCCCTCCTACCGAGCACTCGTTTGATTGACCGGTGCGGGGCCTTTGAAGCACCTGTATCACTGTGTATTTGAGATGTAGTTTGGTTCAAGCTTGCCTCCGACTCGAGACGGGATCTCTATGGCCAATCCTTACAGACCGCTTATTAGATGGCAAGGCTCTATCAGAATCTCCAAGACTACAACCCCCCGCAGATGTTCTGACTGGAGAACGACGGTCCCGAGCTGGTTGATCGGCCCTTCGTCATATTGTCGTCGTGCCGAGCTTCCTCAACGGTCTGTTGCCTCCGAACCCCAGGTCTCCACCGTTGCTGAATTGTCAGCGGGCGATGCGGTGTTAATTATCCGACCTGCGGATACTATTTCAAATCCCAGAGTGATGAGCGAGATGGGCCGCATGCCGCCAGCGACAGCCACATCCCGAGCCTTCCCGTCGCGCAGTGTTGCAGACAAAACGTTTAATGGAAAATTGGCATTCAGAACGCCTCGGAAGCCCCATTTCTATTGGGGGCTACGGTACCCTGGTTGCCGACAGATGCGACAGGATGGGATACCTTGTTGCTGGTGACGGAATAGAAATTTTCATCCTCATCCTGTCCCCGGCCTCCGGCTTCTTAGGGGTTGGTATGAATTGCAAGGCCATATGGGACCTTCTTTAGAGGGACTTAACGACCGAGACTCCGTGAAGCCTAGGTTGACACCAGCAGTGTATCGGTCTGAAGGACTTATCGAAGGATTCTTGTTGAGGGGCAGCAGGGGACCGTGGAGGGTTTCCGAAGGCAACATGAAAGCTTGCTCACCGAGTCGTCCCTCAAACTTCTAAGTTCCGGCTGCTCCAAACCATCCAGATGTTAGACAAGCTAGACCAGGTAGGGTGTACTTCTGCTGGTCCGGGTGAATGTTAACTTGGGGGCTGCTGGCCATACTCATTCATGCCGGCTAAATCCAAATCTGTGCTACACCAATTCCAGGAGTGACGAAGCCAGCTCTTCACACCCTCCCAAAAAATAACCCTCCCATGCGTAGCCTGATGGCGGCTCTGCGAGTTCAAGACCTTCGGAGAGACGACAACAGTCTTCCATACTCCGTCACCCAACTTATGTCGTGCCTATGCCCGAAAGCCCGCACTCCGCCGCGTATCGACGAATATAGTTCTGCAGCAGTGCAGGTAAGTATCCAGCGCAGCCTGGCCATCCCACCGTAATTTGAGCCGGGCAGGCCTTAGTACCAACGACAGCGGGCACGGGACCGTCAACGTACATGTCACTGTAGCTCGGCCACTATGTTGACTCTGTTATGCAAACATACCTAGGTATTCTTACAACGTCCATAAACGGACAACAACACGTGCCCTCAGGTACTATGTAGCTGTACTTTGTTTGCTTCATAACTTGATTAGTCCGTCCAGGGCGAGTGTCAATCATAGCCTCCAAACAAGGATCAATCCCCGGGAGGATTTAGAATTCTGACAAGCGCACGGTGGCTCATCCGGCGATGCTGGCAGCGAGGAAACGGTTCAATTGACAAACGGGAATGCTAGGGGCTCTTACATTGTTCTCTCATTGCTCCACAACGACAGCTGAAGGTTATCAATACCAAGTATTCGTATCTGCATACGTACGTATAAATGGTTCTGTGTGTACAACTATCCACATACTTCTGCCCATTCATGAGCACCTGTCTATTGCGGTTGGTGTTCGACCCTTGGAATGGCGCAGCAATTGCTGAAGCATGGAGATCGGCATTCCGCCAGTAACGCAGTCGGTGGTAGTCGGTGAGGGAGATGACGTGTCGAACTTGGAAAATGAGCAATTCGACTGCCGCGTGCCCTTCCAGTCGACGCCCAGGCGGTAAGGAAGAGTGTCTGGCTGGCGGTGAGGCCGAACACTCTTTCCATGTGATGGGAGGAGAGTATCCGTACGTGTAAAGACATTAGTATTAGGGCGATGCAATGCCCCTGGGAATCTCCGAGTTGGGGAGGCTATATTCCGTACATAAGATGCATCTCAGCATGATGCACAAATGGCATCTTGCTCTGTTGGATCAATTCCGTCCAGAGCTGCACCGACCGCTCAGTAATCTACTGGCACCGTCTGCTCTGCCTCAGCCCATCACCAGGCATCAACTGAATGCTCTGACAGTCACACAGTCTGCGAATTCAGGCAAGCCAATTCTCATCCCTGCCCAGCGAGCAAATCTCCTCAAACCCTACGGATCCTACTGCGTATTGCCCGGCAGGAACTTTTGCGTTCTCTCATGAATCTAATCCAGGCATGCCAGGGCAGTCGATACGAGTGGACTCGACACTGACAGCAATCCACCGCGGCTCGACTGGCCGACAGTCGGGGACTCCCGCTCAATGCTCATTTCATCTCCAACGCCCGAGCGTAACTAATCCTGCTTCATAGGACCCCTCATTCTCGAGACCTCGACCACTGCTCTCCGTCGCCGAAGCGCCATGACCTCCAGTACCCCTGGTCATCAACGACCGCTTTAGGGGCCATATCTGCCCTGAATTGATGTCTTGCAGCTGTCAGGAGGGTCCTGAACACCGCTGATGTGACTCAAAACCCCCGTTCGACCCGCCCAGAGCACCCTGTCCAATATGCTGATCCTGCCTACTCTGCTAGGGGGGCCGTGAACGTCGAGACCGCACCGAATGCAACGGGAACAAACAACGAGTCTCTCGTTGCATTCGAGAAATGGTCTCCGCAGAGCGACTCGCAGGTGTCATTGCTCATGTGACGAGCTCCGGCCAAAGTGCTACATATAGAGTTTGCACGTTTTGGGTGGGTGTTTGGGCGTCAATCCCGCCACTTGTCTATGCATACGGATATGCCCATTGCCACAGCCTCCACTTCCCAGATTGAAGGGAGAAAAGGGCCATACTGGGTCCTCCAGCCCTGCCAGACTGCTCCTATCTTTGACACATCCGTACAGATATACTAGAGGGGGGGGCCACTGGCTACAAACACATGTACTCGTACTTGCAGAGTATCCGTACAACCCAGGTATCATGATCTTGCACAGTGCTCAGGAACAATGGACAAGGGTATATGGTATACCTATCAGATATTCAGGTTCTACCTCACTCTCGCCGACTTCGATTACTCCTGCCTCATGGGAAAGGGCCGACAGCCCGGAGTCAGCTACCAGTGCTTTCAGTATATGGGTCCGTAGCTTCAATGGGGTCTTGTTACCGTTTGTCCAGACTGGGACTACCATGAAACTCCAAACTTGCAGCCTGCCTCGTAGCCGAAAAGTAAACTTTGCCCGGACGGCGTGCCGGACCGGCCGGCACATCCAAGCCCTGGAACCTGGGGCCGAAATGGAACCACATCCCGCTCCGCCAACGGCATCGGGGGTACAGAAATAGTGTAAAGAAGACAACTTCTCGGAAGAGCAAGACCAACGTCGTTCCGACGCCCTATTCCACGTGGCTTAGTATGTAGCTACGGCATTCCACCAACGGGAATTCGTAGCTTTAGTTAATTCCACTTCGGTCAACCAATACAACCTTGAGTTGGCTCCACTTCCTCGCTGAGGCCGTTCGAACATCTGGGATGCCTTAATCAATGAGATCCGGGAGGCGGATTCCTCTCCTCTTTAGCTGGGATTGCCGCCCGGTGATATTTGAGAACTGCAAACTCGGTTTGGTTGACCATTTCTATCCCAACACCCCTACCTTTTAGGCTATGTCCCCGGCTTCAGACCAGAAAAGTACACGAAGTCGTCAGAATGGAAATTTATTCGAAGCGGACATGGTAAAAGTAGATACGTATACAAAACATGCAAATCAATCCGACCTATCATCCCCAGATATCAACGGCATACCGGCGGAAATGGCATCACGAGATTGACTCATTGGGTACTTGCTCCTCGGCCACTTGGCATCGAATACTGCCGTGATACTTAGTTGCGTGGTGTCCTGTTGGCTGTGTCGACGAGCAGGACGACAGAAGTCCGGAAGATCCTTGCATAACTGTGCCACGAAAACCACTTGATTCGATGCGTTTTATGATAGCTAGCTTGTGTAATGTGATAGGAGTGCTTCGCAGGTGGCTCGTTGCAAGGCTCTGTCTGTGATGCTCTAGTCCTCCTGCAGGCTTGACAACTCTGCATCCCACGTTGCTGCATTCATCGTACGAACACACCGTCATATTCTCTTAGATGTGGATACATGCATGCACATGCCTGCAAGGTAGCTTGCTGGGTAACTTGATGCATGTTCTAACTAATACTCCGACGAGATCACGATGCTGACACGATCCAGGGGAGACGGGAATCTTTGGCGATCAGGAGAAACATGAAATTGAGGGAATCTTGCGACTTACTGTCTGCTTGTAAAAAGGTTCGGCCCTTTGGCCGACTCCCCGATGTTACCTCGTTCCGCTGCGGTCATCGTCTTAATACGGCTATCGTCCCGCTCATCTCATGTCAGTGCCGCCAACCAACAACCAACAAAGCAAGCGTCCAACAACCGACGATCAAATTTATTATCATACAGCCACCAAAACGCAAAGATCCCTGCTTCAATCCCACAGTTTCCGCACTCCGTTGCAGCCTCCTCAACTTTCTCCTCACGGCCAAGCCGTCATATCTTGGTTTCCTCCAATCGTGGTTGAGCCAGTTTCCAGGACCCTGGGTCTTGCGTTACGTGGCACACACGATGTTGTTGGTACTCCTCGAGGTCTTTAAGCCGGCCAGTAGATCCGCATCGGTGACAGATAATGGGTGTCTGGAGTCTCGGCGGCCGACGCTACCTCGGTCGGTAGGGGTCTCGAACCTCACCAGGCCATCTTCAGGTTTCTACGGTTCTACCAAAGTTCTATCGTTGTCTCATTCAAGGGGCCCTAGTCTAGGAGAGTGGGAAACGATGAATAAGTGATGCTGCTTGCCGGCAACCCGGGCCAAAACTCTTCATCGGCGAGGATGGTGCTCCTCCATGTTATTCCCGGAATCATAGCCTTTTCTTCACTATTGGTGCGGCTGACTGCTTGACCGATATTCCAGAAACAAGCCTGCCGTCCGAGAGGACTCGCTCACTTCTCCGCACTACGGCAAGAGTGAACGGATACGCAGTGTCGCAAGCCAAGCAAGTCGTCATGAGGAAGATGCCCATGGGGTTGACGAAGAAACCATGAGCCTCTGGCCAATACCACCAAAGCAGACTGGTCGATCCGATCCAGCCGGTAAGGGTACCAAGTGCCCTGCAGAACCTGTCGAACAAAGGATCAGCATAAGATGTCTGCTCATATGACCCGAACCCCCCTCTCACTGAATGCGGCGGGCGCTTGTCCTGACTGAGCAAACATGACCGCCCAAATACGACTGAATGAGAAGAACGGCGAGAACGAGAACCGGGAAGGAGACCCCACACATCGGAGCAACTCCAGCGGCACAACATTCGAACTCACGACCTACGGATAAGGTCGTTTGGGTGGCATCAGTACGCGTCAAGATGACACGTTCTGAGGATGGATAGCAATGAGAGGAAACGGCTGTGAGGATATCACACACCGATGACAGGGAAGAGGACGCAAACACGGCACACAGTGAGGTATCGTGACCCAACACGCCTTTTACCCTTATCACTTTTGGAAGTTCTCTCATCCGGCGAGAGAAAGCAATCCGCTCACCGATCGAATGCGGCAAAGAACGCGAAGGAGACAACCGGGAATCACTCACCAGATCGCATAACTTGTGCCCCCAGAGTGACCCCTGACGAGCAACATGGCAAGACACCCAGTCCCAAGGGCGAGCTGTGCCAGACCAGCCGTCCAGAACGCGAGCTCCGTACAGTCGAACCCCTCCCGTCCGGCCCACCACTTGCCACTCTTGTCTCCGAACCCGGTACCGGGCGCCGAAAGCCACCAGTCAGCGACAGCGTAGTTCGCTGCGCAGCCAAGGGCAACCATGGCCGTAAGTACAGCGCCGATATTCTCTGCGACAAGCGGCGAATGACGCCACTCGTGTTTCGCATTCTTCAGAGTCGTGTAGACGAGCGGTACGTCGAGGAGGAGCCAGACAAGGAAGCCGAGACGTTCGAGAGGGTGTTCGGCGACGCGAGCTGCGTAGATGAGTTCCCAGGAGAGATTCAGGGCGAGAGCGAGGAGGGGCATGCCGTATGACTTCGTTCTGTGAGAGCGGATGGACATGAGGACGTAGCACATATCCCAGGAAATGGCGCCTGTGATGAGAAGGGCGCCGGAAGCTGGCACGACCCATGAGGGAACATGAGGTGGAGGCGTATCCGTCAGGCCCATGTTGCAGGTATTGGCTTGTTCTGATGCGCCAACTTGAGTGCCTTCGGACTAACAGTCGTTGTCGTAAGTTGTGATGGGGTTAAGTTTCGGAGGGATGTCAGGCTGTGGTAAGCGATCACCAATAACCAGAGGCTATGGCCATGTCTGCCTAAGCGCCAAGGATCCTCAATAAGCAAAATCGTCGAGCACTATCATCTGGTATTTCATTTCCCGACTGAGAAAACTCCGAGATTAATTCTTCAGTTTTGTGCTAAGATGGCCTAACGATGACTTATAGGCCACTAACCTTTCATGTAGATACATCGGCAAAGAGCGCACTTTGGAGCTAAAACTGGACGAAGACATCAAAAACGCGTCCGTTTTGACGCGATTCGGTGCTATAATGGATAGTCTCGTAGACAACAACAATCCAAATTTGCAACTGCTGCATACAGCCGCTCGTGAGATGCATTTCAGCGGTTGCCGGGAAATAAATTGGTACATAGATTTCAAAAATCGTGTGTTGAGCATCATCACATCCGCATCTGTAGTGTAGTGGTTATCATCCTTGCCTTCCATTCCAAATCGGATTAGCAAGGGACCCGGTTTCGATTACCGGCGGATGCATCACGCGGATGAAATTCGTTTTTTGATTTTTGACGCATTGAGCCAAGGAAAAAGAATCTGGTCGACTGAGCTTGGTCACCCACCTGACTCAATTGGCTTGATTTTGTTAACCGTCTGTTCAAGATAGTCCATTAAGATAGCCCATCAAGATGGGCTGTTCGGAGCCCTAATCTAAGCTAGAGGTAAAGAAGGCCTCATCCACATGCAAAGGCAAAGGCAAACACCCGGCTACTTGATTTAAAGATAAAAGTGCACATTCTGCCCTCGCAACTACAGATCCATCAACTCTAAGATCTGTAAAAGGTATCATCCATCAATGCATACATTCTATCAAAATGTGGTTTCACAGTGCATGTCAGACCTCGGAGTAAATTATGCTTTCCAAAAGTTAGGAGCTTCCATGTTTCTTGGGCCACCAATAATTATTACGTCGGCAAGGCAGGCCGACTTTTTCGAAGAATTGGAAAGATGGACTCGAAGACTCTGCGAATTTGGTCATTGCTCAATGTCTGATCTTGTATCGGTGAAGTTGTCACCGAAATCCACTGCCAGGGGTCATGATACTTACCCCTCATTCCGATTGTCGGCACTGCTTCCGAGATAACGGCTTTTGCCCGAGTGGCAGCCCAATACTCGTCGGACAACCTCGAAATGGCATCATTCGTTTACAGTTTATATCAAATGATAAAGTTAGATACCAAGTAATCTGACAGAATGCTTCCAAGAAGACCGTCAGCGCTTCGGTCAATTCGTTTCGTGCGCCGGTCGTCAACCTTTTCCCAAGGTCTCTCAGGTCTCAAAATCAACTCCGATCGTCTTCAAGAAACTATCCACCATACGTGTCAATGGGGAGCAGCTCATCGATATGGCAGGTCAGCATCGTTCCTTCCCGAAAGAGCTTCTCAAGTTGCTGACAATTCACCAGAGCTCCGATTGAAACTGGCATGGCCCGGCTGACTCTCTCAGATGAAGATGCCGCGGCGAGACGATGGTTCGTGGAAGAGACACAAAAACTAGGCTGCGATGTCAAAGTTGATCAGATGGGCAACATTTTTGCTAGGCAAAGAGGGTCGCTAGGGTCGACTCTGCCCATGACTGCAATGGGCAGCCACTTAGATACCCAACCCCAAGGCGGTAGATATGATGGTATACTAGGTGTCGTTGCCGGTATCGAAGCATTAAGAACGATGAAAGAGAATGGCTATCACTGTAACTTTGATATTGGAGTTATCAACTGGACAAAGTACGCGATATTAGCTTCCATCCGATCAGGTTATGAGTTTCGCTGACTTGCTCTCAGTGAAGAAGGCGCCAGGTTTCCGGGCACTACAGTCTCCTCCAAAGTTTGGGCTGGAGAAATACCAATTCAAACCGCTTGGGATCTGAGAGACGTGTCAAATTCCTCTATCACCATGAAGTCGGAACTCCATAGACACGGATACCTAGGGGAGATTCAGTGTTCAGCAACTCAAGGTTACTCTATAGGCGCACACTTTGAACTCCATATTGAACAAGGTCCTTTGCTGGAATCCAGAGGGAGGAAGATCGGGGTCGTTCGAGGTGTGCAAGCCTGCAGATGGCTCACATTCACCGTTGTCGGCCGGAGTGCTCACTCAGGTACAACTCCTTATTCGGCAAGGAAAGATCCCCTTTTAGCTGCGGCGAAGATGATTGCGACTTCGAATGAGCTAGCACAGAAATCCGGAGCTTTCGTGACCACAGGAATCATCAAAGTCCCTCCGGAATCATCGACCAACACAGTTGCTTCACGGGCAACGTTCACACTGGATATTCGCCATCCGGACGACGACGTCATCTCCGAGGTTCAAGAACAATGTCTCGTTTTCTTCCAGGGAGTCTCTCGCGAGAACGGTGTGGAGCTGAGCTGGAACATCGATGTGGATTCGTCTGCAACCACCTTTGATGAGGATTGCGTATGGGCCGTCGAAACGGCGGCGAATGGTATCGTAGGTCATGATGGCTGGCTTCGCATGACAAGCGGCGCGACGCACGATAGTGTCAATACCAGCAGACATTGTCCGACGACGATGATATTTGTGCCTTGCAAAGATGGAGTCAGTCATCATCCAGAAGAGTACTGTAGCCCGGAGGATTGGTAAGTCATGGAGTTTCCAACACGGAGGAGTTGATGTGCTAATTACTTTTTCACTTTAGCGCCTTGGGAGCGCAGACTCTCCTCGATGCTGTCATCATATACGACGACATGAGACTAAGAAAGCTGCAGTGATTGACGCTTTTCGGATATATCAGGACTTGTTTGCTTAGTGCCTGCGAGCACTCTCGCTTGAAGGTCTTAAAGTTCAGAATATATCCAACTTCGCTTGAAAGAAAGACGCAATTTTTTGGTGAAATTCAGATGGAGCAAGAATAAACCAGGAAGACCGGGATCCTCTAGCTGTCCGGCGCGGAGGGTTGCCTGGACTAGACGTTGGAGTTGTCAAGATCGGCCTCGTCGTGGCAGCCTTACCACTCGCCACTACCTTCGTATAAACCCTCAGCAACACGCTTGTCGCAGCCGATAGCAGGCACATTGTAGCAACCATTGTTATTAAAGCCTTCAAAAAAGATTAGCAGTGGGAAAACAGGTAGCTACCAGCGCTGTTGTAAGAAGTTATCTTACCAAGAGCTGGTCGGTGGCGAAGATCGTTCGTCGTGGCCTATTTTGGAAGCTTCGTAGGGGGCTCAGCAGTCTGCCTCAGCGTAAGAGAATTAGAAGGCGAGAAAAGCACTGCCCCAAGGAGCCACAGAGCAGCTTTTGCTGGAGCACGCTGCCCTTTTCGCGATGAGATGGATAATGGCATATTTGCGAAGGATAGTGTCTTTTGCCGAGAATCTGGCAGTTTGCTCTTGGGCCACCACATCAAATGGACTGACTAACAACGGGAGACACAACTTATATACTTGACTCTTAACAACCTATGTATAAGGAGTTCGATAGATGGATTGTTTGTGGGATGAAAGACTGCATGTCTTGCTGACATCTTCGCTGTTGTTTCCGGAACCTGAGCTGACAGAGGGCAGCTGCCTAAAGAAGCGTAGCAGGGTATCGCTGAAGTGAGATCTTACCAGAGGTTATTCGATAGTTTGTCTTGGCTAATTAATATTCTAGTTTGTATAGAAATTCTAGCCCTCTCACTTCGATGTTGGACTCAAGCGCACCGTACTCTATGCGCCTACGAGTTCTCACAAATGTGAGAAACAAATATGCGGCTTACCTGTCTTCACCTCAGTTCATCTTTTGTCCAAGGAAGAAGAAGCTCCTGCCAAAAGTTCCAGCGCATGTCTATTCAATCCCTTTTGCAGATCTGAGCCCACGCTCTTCTACGCCCAGTGTCGCGGTTTTCTGGCCTATCAATGACGACTACTATCGCGAGGCATATGGCCAGTTTTCTACAGCCTATTCAAGACTAGAGACTTCTCATGCGGCGTGGTTGGGCCGCTACTATTGATACTCATAGGTAGTCGACGATAAAGGCATAAGCTATTTGTACCAAGTCAACTCGCTGGCACACAAGATTCCATTAGCTCTTGGGGCTGCGAGCAGCGAACTCCTGCTGCCAGATTCGCAATGTCGTATCTTCGAGCGCCCGGCACAAGTGATCACATGTATACATTGTCTAAAAGGTTGTAGTTCTATCATTTTAGGAGATTTAAGTTTATCCGGCAAGGAATCATTATTCGAGGTTGCTACTAGCACCGGAAGGCTCGAGGATATCTTAAAATCTAGTAATGTAGCCGGAACATAGGTATGACACAATCGCCAGTTATCTATGAGCAGTTCGCAAGTCCTGACCCGATAGGAATACATCCATTTCCAAGTGTCTTACACGGATGGTTCTATAATTACAACAAGTAACCCGTCAATTTCAATTATTCAAGGAAGGCGATAGTCATGTCGAAAAGTGGAAGAATGAACTGTACCTGGCCACAACTCAGAACGGAGTTCGCGTTACCATCCCAAAGGCAAGTACCGAGGTTACCTCCAACCGGAAGTCTGCAGTTCTATTCTTATTCATCAGCTATCATATCGCGCCAAAGTGATCAAAGTCTAAGAGGAGCATGAACATACCCACCAACCCAGTACCGAAGGGAGGAAGCTGACGAAAAGAGCGACGTGGAACTTCATGGTTGCTGTAGATAATTATGTACAAGAATGGGTCGCTGGAGGGATATTTTGCGGCAGGATATACAATACGAGGTAGAGAATGACAGCACTATAAAACCAGTGAAAAGTCCTCAAACAAGCAGGCGCACACAAAGAGGTAAAGACCAGCTATAAGTTTCAATAATCACTCAATGGCGATCTTCAACAACGGAGAAGCCGTGTACCCGAAACTAATACCAACGGGAAATTCCGCCACTGAGTCGCGCGCAACGAGGCTTGGAGGGGCACATGATGTTCAAACTCTAATTGACAAGTTCATCCCAGCTCGAATATTATGAGACGGGGCGAGTATTGCCCAATAAACATACTACGTAAGGTAGGCAACATAGCCCTGTAATATTTTTTACAAGTGATGTCCGATCCAATTCCACGGGACGCACGGCTTAGGGCGCGCGCCCCCTATCAGTTGGATATAATTTGTAAAGAGCGCGCAGCACTAGACTCTGCGAGCATTGTCCCGTCGTTTACGGAGTCTTTCAACGTGCCAATATTCTCTATCAACAACCAGTCTCAGACGAAGCATCCGTAGTAGAATCTGCGGAGTAAGACCTGCGGAGCATTATAAGCCCACTGGAGGATGAATCCTAGCCGTCAATTATCTTTCTTACTGCCCAGGCCTCAGGACGCTACAGCCTACGAAGACTGAGGAAAGGGCTACCTTATGGCCCGTTATCCTTACGAGACGTGCAGGCCAGGGCCCAGGCCATCTTGGAGAACGTGCGCCATTCACATCCTAGCGAGGCCGGCAGTGAAATGAGCGTGCCAGGAACCAGGAACTACAGACTCAGCCGGTTTTTGTCCAAATGTGGCTTTGGACTCGCATATCTCCAAGCTGTCAGTCTCTCCCTTCTATCTTTTGGCCTTCACGAATCCGAAGGCCGAGTGATATCACCCGACCAAGCCGATTACCGCATAAACATTATGGTCTAGACGTACACACATAGTGAGATGAAAGAACCTCTTCTCGTGCTATCTGCTAAGGCCAAGGATCCGTAAAATATTTGTTCAGCAGCGAAACGCCACGTGATTCTTCTAGATGGAAGACAACCCCCAGTAAAATTCCACATTCAACCAACCTAGTCATCATAGTAGTCATCAGCATAACCATCGCCGCCATGGCCATCGTCATAATAGCCAACATAGTCGTATTCATCGTCGCCGTGGCTTTCATCAAAGGTGCCGCCAGCATAGTCATCGTCGTTGCGAGCCTCGTCAGCACCCTGCTCGTCACCGTAGACAACTTCACCATATCCGGTGTACACGACGTTGTCCTCGTCGCCATACTCCCAATAATCCTCCGGACGCTCCTGAGGCTGCTCCTGAATCCCCTGCTCTTCTCTCTCTCCCTCGTAGACCTGACCATTTTCATCAACCCAGATAACCGGGGGGCCATACTCGGGCCCAAACGGCGGTACTCGATTAGCCTAATCATCGTAGTAGTCGCCGCCATACTCCTCCCTATCAGACTCCCGATCACTATCATCCCGGCCGCGATAATGGTCCTCAGATCCAGATGATGAACGGCGCTCGTAGTGATGCTCGTGGTGCTCAGAGTCTGAGTCGGAATCTGTGGAAATTGTCAGTTTTGGCGTTCAGTAATCTTCCGGAGCGAGACCCGGAGAGGGTGAGTGATCGTTACCTAGAGCATTGGCGATAAGTGCGCCTCCCAGCGCACCCACCGCGAGACCACCGGCCACGCCGAGGAACATGTTGCCGTTGCCGCTCTTCTTCTTTTTCTTCTTCTCTTCACTGCCGTATCCCTGTTCGTACTGCTGTCCATACTGCTGTTGAGGCTGTTGACCATAGGGCTGACCGTACTGCTGGGGTTGCTGGGGTTGGCCGTACTGTTGAGGCTGCTCGTACCCATGGGGCTGACCCTGTCCGTATTGCTGTCCAGCGTAGTACCCGGCTCCAGCTCCTGCAGCTGCCGCAGCCGCACCGCCCCCATAGGCTCCGTATCCGGGCTGTGGTGAGTGACCCCCGTAACTGGGTTGGGGGGAGGGTCCGCCGTATCCCGGTTGGGGTGGTGGACCTCCGTAGCCGGGCTGTGGTGAGTGGCCTCCATAGCCAGGTTGAGGCGAGTACCCCGGCTGCGGCGAATGTCCACCATATCGAGAGGCATCCCCATACCCTCCATGGCCCGGCGGTGACATTGGCGGAGGAGACATAGCCGGCGGTGGCGCAGGCGCCTCCCACTGAGAAGCGCCAGTTGCTTGATTGATGTAGTACCACCGTCTGCTGTTGTCGTCAAACCGCTTGACCCATCCCTCTGGCAGTCGCGGCGAGGGAGGTCTGCCGTAACCAGGTGAAGGGGGCCTTCCATAACCCGGCGAGGGAGGTCGCCCGTAGCTTTGTTGCTGCTGCTGCGGCTGTGGATACGGGCTAGATGATGTGGAATCACCATACCTTCCGGGATGCGGAGACGGATACTGCGGCGCGGAACCGTAAGCACCCCCGGCGGCGCTGGCAGCTACGCCAGCGGCGACGGACGACATGGCACTCCCCTCGGAGACGGGGTCGGAGTAGGCGGAGCGCGTGGGGTCGCTGGAGCCGAAGGCGGCGGGGTGCTCGCGCTTGTACTCGTCTGCGCCATTCTGCGGACCGCCGGCATAACCCGCTGGCGGTCTGCCGTCATAGCCTGAGCCGTGGGAACCGTAGTTGCTGTATCCATAATCCTGGTGGCCTGTGATGTGTCGTTAGGATTTGTTGATGCGATGCTTTTGAGATGAGGTGGGTGGGGATCTTGCGATATGGTGAAGGGCAGAATTGCGGTGGGAGGTTGTCGCAGAACATCACATTTCGCTCACTCACCTTGGTTGATGATCTCTGGATCGTCGGGGATCTTAAAGTTGCCCAGCTGTGATGCCAGCTTCGCGACGTCGAAGTTGCCAAAGAGCGACATCTTCGTTTTCTCGGGGCTGTGTCCTTCTTCTCTTTCTTTCGGTAGTGACAGTTGGGAGTTGGAAGGATGGGAGAGAATTGCACGTGGTTGGCGGGGGATTTGACGTGGTCGTCGCGGGGTCAAGTGACCAAGGTAAGGTCAGGCAAGGTGAGTTGGGCTGTTGGTAGGGGCAAAAAAAGAAAAAAAGAAAATGGCTGAGGTAAGAAAAGTAGGGCCACCCGACGGGATCAACCTAAACGAGCGTGGTGAGGTAGTAGCCCAAGGTAAAGGAAGGTGCGCGCCGTGTGACGGGCGATTCGTAATGTGATTTCTTGGGCTGCAGGTGTGACTGCACGTCAGATTGGCTTCCTGCCCATTTGTTTCGGCAGATCGGAACGCAGGCGGCGGGTATTTTTCTGGGCTTTTTCTGTTCGCTTCCCTTGAGGTTCCATTCTCATGTTTGGTTTGTCTCCACGTTTGGTTGCCTTGCGTCGTCCGAACTTGGCACTCGGGACCACCCGTTCATCTCATAGGGCTGAAGACTGTGCGCTCTCTCACCCTTACCATTACTCACTCGGCCGATGATCAATTGGAGATGTGAGGGATCTGAATGAGATGAACCCAAGTGAGGGGGATGAGTGAGTGAGACGTGAAATGAACATCGCACGCTCAACCCCGCCAGGACAAGCACAACTTCATCCCCGTATGGTTCAAGCCTTTGCATTAAGATGCTATATCGCTATGCTATGAGCCCCCAAAAAGAAAGGCTGCTTCATAGACCGACAGACATGATGGTAATGCGAGATGCTGCACATTCCAAGATCTGAAAAGACACGCCTTCACCTTCATTCGGTCGTCTCCTTTGCAGCCGGTAGAGCAGGCTTCTGCCCATACACCACGTGCCTATGCGTATGAACTAGTTAGTTCCCAGAGATAATACCCAAAATCATCGTCGACCTTGGACAACGGAATTTTAAAAAAAAATCCAGGGGAAGGAACACTCACAAATCCAATAACGCATGAAACGCCCCCGTCTTCAACTCCCTCCTCACTTCCGCAAGCTGTACCAACACCTCCTCCTTACTCCTCCCCAGCACACCGCATAGCAACTTTAACGAAAACCCTTCCAACCCCTCAAGAATCTGCGCCAGATTCAGCAACCCCTGGTCCTTGAAGTGTCGATGCCGCGCCCACGGCCCAATGGGCGTCTTGAACTTGTGGTGCGCCACGTGCTCGAATCCGCCGTGCCCGCTCACCCACCCCTCGAGCTTCGGTCCGGGACGCGGATCGCGCCCGATTTTGTCGAGGGTTTCGACAAAGGTCTGGTTCCATTCGTAGGTTGCGTGTTGGGGGGTGTAGCTTCCGTCGTCGGAGTAGTATTCTGTGCTCATGTCTTGGAACTCGGCCCAGCCTCCTGGGTTGAGGTTGCTGGAGAGGCGGGGGTGAGGTGTGAGTAATAGGACCGGTTGGAAGACAGGTAGGAGAGGTAGACGTACTCGTAAATGTTGGCAATCAGCTTCGGCCAGTCCTGGATGGAGGCGGCCATGTATCGGCACATGATGAAGTCGTACTTCTTGACGCCAACCCACTCGCTCTCGACATCGTCAATCTCAAATTTGACGTTTGGGGGCACCCTGCAATTTAAAGAACAATTGGCTTTGAAGATCGCCAGAAAGGGGTTCATGTTGGGACTTGACGCACCACTCCGGTTGGATAGCGCTCAAATCATTCCCGATAACCTGCCCATCAATCAGCAAAGCATACCATCACCAATCTCACTCATCCCCAACTCACCTCGGCGTTCTCGAAAATGTCACCAATCTCAACAGCCCCTACCAACCACAAGCAATTAGTAATGCATCGCTCTCGAGATTAGTTGGACTTGCGGAGACATACAGATACCAGTACCCGTGCCGATATCCAAGATGCGATGGACCTTGTCCTTGGCCAGCGGCGCTAGCCAGAGCTTGCTTCCAATCGCCCTCACCATCATGGCGTGGGCCATGTCGAGACGCTCCATCTCGACCTCGTCGTTTGGAAACGAGTATGCTATGTATAATATGTCAGCAGACCGAAAATGATGTCCGTTCATTATCGCTTGTGATGATGAAGTAAGAGAAGACTCACAGCCCGGTCTGAATGCATGGTAGCGACGGCCATACTCTTCCGGGTAGTCGATGACGCTGGACGATAGGGACGCAGTGTAACTCGAACTGTCTCAATCACTCGTGTTAGAAAATTGCAATCAATGGATGGAGTGATGAGAATTTTAGAGAGCTATTACATTCTATCATCAATCGATGAATCGTTGTCACTCTACACCGAAAATATTAGTCAACGACAGCTCAATCTAAAGGCCAACTGAGCTGCGACTCACAGCGAACCCCTCGTCAGCTTCAACCGGATCATCCTGTTGAGCGGGATCAATCGCCACCGCTGGGACGGCTCGCGATGATCTCGTCGTCGGAGCCGGGTCGGGGGACGAGACAACAGCGACAGGTGCGGCCGTAGTGGGCGGTGTTCCCTGTGCTTCAGCCATGATGTGCGCCTTTTCCGTTTCACGGGAATTCTATGTGAACGAATGAACCTTGAATACGACGTTTATCGAGATATTGTTAAGTCGCGCGGTTGCTGTGACCTAGCGTGTCTCGAGAAATCGCGATCTCAAGGAGGGCAGATGAATCAATCCCGCGCAAGGTCAATCAACTAAAAGACCGCGCCTCATCTGCTTGAGAGGGGAGCTCCAGTTTTTGTATCTGCCCGTTTCCAGGTTCCCTTCCCACACCACTACGGAGTACACCACCCTTCCATGTCTCTGCCAATGTGTGGCTTGCTGAGGGGTTCATCCTACAGTAGGGAACCTTAACCGTACTTGGACCAAACGACAGGCACGACAAGCCTAATAAGAACGCAGACAAGACCCCCGGATGCAGAACAATCAGACATCCTCTCACAGGGATCGCTGGGTAATAAATAGTCCGCATCCCGTTTTCCCACCGCTCACATCAAGTTACAGGGCATCCGCCGAGATGAACCCAGGGAGATGTGTAGAATCCAGTCCAATGGAACTTGGAACCGGCATTGCCTTGCATGGTCTGCGTTGCTACCCCTCTTTTTTCCCTGCACGGTAGATGGGGATCTTGACCCGTTTGAGCCCTCATCCGAGTTCCCGGTTGACGGTATCGCATACACCACGTTCGGAAGGTGCGAGGCTGGGCGACCATTTGCGATCGCGTGTTGTGTCTATACCGAATGTACCGATCAAAATTACAAAACACATAACAAAAAGGCGCCATGCATATTAAAGACATCCGGGACACGTGTGATTTTCGAGTTATTTCAAGTTCGTTATCGTCATTCATAATAATAATAAAGGTTCCCATCCGCCTCTGTCCGCAACGAAGCAATGGGGTATAGAACAAGAGTCGAACAAGAATCTAAACACTCGCCTCGCCGGGCGGCCATGATGCAAACAAGCAGGTCAAAGAGAGGCCAGCATAAAATAATGTATCAAAACAAATCCAAACGCCCATAGCTATGCTTTTGCTTTTTTGAAGTCCGCCATGCGATGCGAATGCCCTCCGTTCCTTCTTCCGGTTCGATGCAATTCCTCCATCCTTCACAACGCCCTTCCTTCCAACAATCATGCCAGGTATCCTCACTTGTGGCACCTTCACTTCTTCGCCGTGCGAGCGCTACGCTTGGCAGGAGTACCATTGGCACTCAGACCCAGCTCCTTCTTCGCCGCAGCAGTGGGCTTCTTCGCCTTCGAAACCTTGGCACCGTCTGTCTTTGGGGCAGTAGCCAACTTGGACTGGCTTGCCTTGGTTGCCTTGGCTGCAGTCGCTTTGGCAGGCGCGGTCTTAGTCGCAGCAGACTTGGCAGGCACAGCCTTCGTAGTCGCAGCCTTGGAAGTCGGAGCCTTGGCGGTTGAAGCCTTGGTGGTAGCGATCTTGCTCGTAGAAGCCTTCGCCTTTCTCGCCTTTCCAACCTGCTTCTCCTCTTCGGGACTGAGCTCGGCAGAGCTGGAACTTGCCTCGTCAGACTCGATGAGAGCGGCGGACGGATCTTCGGACTGGCTTCTAGCCAACTGAGCTGCCCACTGAACACTCTTATTGTTTCTTTTGGCAACAGCAGCGGCCGCCCGAGTCTCTATCTTGGGCGGTGCCGTCTTGATCGCCTCGAGCATTTCCTCTGCAGAAACAGCATCTCCCTTATTGCTACGAGTATTCTGGCGAGTCAAGGCTGCAAGGTCCTTCTCTCCAGCTCTGATATTACTCATTCCCTTGTTTCTAACTGGGATCTTCGTAACCGCTGGAGCCTCTCCACGCGCGACGGCAAGCTGGCGTCTCGTACGCACATTCGGCACAGGAGCAACCTCATCCTCATCGGCGGACTTGTCGTTAGCCTTGTCTGTGGCCTTCTTCGCATCGGGAACGTCGGCCTTGACTCTGCGCTGACGCTTCGGCGGCTGCGGCTTCTCTGGCGATCCCTCTCTTCCGTCAGCGGCCTCGGCCTTTCGTTTGGCTTTCTTGGGGCTCGGGCTGTTAACATCAAGCGATCCAAGAGGCTGGCGTCCGGTTGAGTTGGCTGGAGATGCCCTTCTCGCAGAACGAGAACGATCTGCCGACGACGTGATCGAGAACGCCGGGGTGTCGGGCCAGATGCTTTGATTGCGCTCTGGGGTTGCAGCCATGAGGATCGGAGCGGACGCAAGAGGGTCAGGCGAAGACTGAGCAATAACGGGTTCAACGGCCGGAGTGGGAGAGAGAACAGCGGGCTCGGCAGGCTCGACGGCTTCAATAGGCTCGGGATCAGCAGCCTTGGCAGCTTTCTTAGCGGCGTGCCTCGTCATAAACTCCCTAAGCATGACCAAGGAATCGTCGTCTTCCGCGGCGGGGGCGGGCGCCTGTGAAGGCACCTGCGCCACCTGCTCATCCTCTGCTTCGACCTTGTCTTCCTCTGCTGTCTCTCCGCCATGCTCTGTTTCAGTGGCCGGGCGGATAGGCGACAACGGGGTAGAGGTGGCCGGCTCGATGGGAGAATCAACAGCATCCACGGGCTCTTCAACGGGCTCTTCCATGGGCTCTTGCTCTTGGGCGAAGAGAGCAGCGTGTTCGTCCGAAACCTTAAATCGGACAATCAAACGACCTCCTTCTCTGCTGACAACAACCTTTCCGTCCATATCCGTCTTCTTTGCCTCCTCAAACACGCGAGCGAGAGATGTCAGCGCCTGAATCGGGGATCCGGGGCGGTCCTGGAAGGAGCCGAAGATGTCCGGATTCTCTCTTGCATCGACAACGACAGGTGAAGGCGACGGCGACGGGGTTCTCTCTGGGGTAGCTTGGGCAGCCGCCGCCGCAGATGCTGAGTCAACCTCGAGGGGACTCTGCACCGCGTGGAGCTCAACCGACGAATCGGGAGCACCCACCAGCGACGCGGATGCTGGATCTTGAAGAACCTGCACCACAGGAAGCTGGGCGGGGCCGGCAGCAGGAAGAGATGCTCGGCGGAGAGGGGCGGAAAAGGAAAGACGACGGGCAGCAAGGAGTGACTTGCGCTTCTTGAAGGGCGACGTGTCGTTGCGGTTCTTAAAGAACACCATTGGACTCGCGACTTCAACGGCAGCGGCCTTGTCCTCTTGTTCGGACTCATTTGCCTCTTGGTTCGTCTCGGTGACGTCGAGATTCGATAGAGATGAGGGGGGCATGTGGAAGGTGAAGCCGGGTCCAATCGGGGATGACAGAGGTGAAGGTGACATTTCTTCAACAACAGATTGGAGCGTGGCAAGCTTGGCCTCCAGGTTGGCAGCGCCTCTAGCTAGCCTGGTCTTTCGGCTTGAGCTTGAGTGGTGTGTCGCCGTCGAAGGGAAGCGAGGGAGCTTGGCGGTCGGGCTTTGAGGCTCCTCTTCCTCTTCGATAACCGAAAAGTCGGACTCTCCAAAGATGGCAATGGGCTGTCTGACGTTGCGATGCTTGGGCTGGTCACGACCGTGTACCCTATTAGACTCGCGAATGGCAGTTTCAAGCACCCAATCAAAGCTGAGCTCTGGCATCGGGAATGCAAGAAGAGGCGCCATGATGGTGTGAGTCAACAGGCCGTTGTTATAGGCCCGCTTCTTCTCACCATCATAGTTTCTCTTCCCGCAGGTTGGCACGATGGGCTCGCCGTACTTCTCCACCTCCTCGTGGTATTGGCGGCGCTGGTCGTGAACGGAGGGGCCGGCAGGGAGCGCCTTGAGGTCGTTACGGAGGACGCGGCGAGCTTCGATCATGTTAATCACGCCGCTTTCGTCCACATCCTCTAGCCAGTACGGCGCCGAGTCGTCCTCCGCCGTAAACTCGGCCACCCTCTGCTTCTTGCGAGGACAGAGGGCGTAGAACAGACCGCCTTTCACGGCAATATGCCGGAAATTGGCGGCGGCCTCGAGCTCTTCCACGGCGAGGGACTCGGCGACCTCTCTTGCGATGGCCTTCTCGAACACCAGGCCCCTGGCCTTTCGTTGCTTTGTGCGAGGAATACGGGCTCGCTGCCGGGCGAAGCTAGGCACTGGTGTAAGTGCTGAGGTGACGTCGAGGTCGGCATGGGTCTCGGGGTCGAAGGGGTTACTAAGAAGCAAGTCAGTGAGGCTACCTACATGTGGGCAGGGGATACACATACGAGAACTCCTTCGCTGCTTCCGAAAGTTCGGTAGTGGCGAAAGTGTAGGATTGAGGCTTCTTGGGCGACGGGGCGAAGTCGGAAATCATTGTTATGTCGGCCATGGTAATGTCGAGCTTTGAAGGGGACTCGAACCCGCCAGCCTCCTCTCCATCTCTTGAGGGTGACTCCTCGTCGTCGTCTCCTTCCTCGTCTTGTGCTGGGGACTCGCTCTCGGCACGAGTCTCGGCTTGCTGTTGATTCGAGCCGGAATCACTGCGCGGAGACTGGTCGTTGAAGACGAGAGATGCTGTCGGAGAGGTAATCGACATGACTGAAAAGTCCGATACCGCAGGCTTCGAGGGACTCGACTTTGGTGAGAAACTGCGAGCGAGCTTTGGAGTCGACGCGGTAAGGGATTGGAAACTGGCATCCGCGAAGGACACCTTCTTGGGTGATGGGGTCTTGGCAGGGGCGTCCAGAGACATCGTTGTAAGTCTCGAACTGCCAGCCTTCAGCCTCGGGGTCTCAGCTGTGCTGAACTTCTTAACCGGCGAAGCAAGAGACATTGGGGCGAATCTAGGAGGCTGTGTTGTGGCCGCGGACATTGGCGTGGTGCCTCCCTTGGTTGGCGTGGTGAAATCGAAATCCGAGAAGGCCATCTCGACATTAGCGGTAGAGTCCCGAGTGAGCTCAAGGTTCGAGAAACCGGCCAAGGCCCTCTTAGGGCTGGGAGTGCGGTTGCGGGAGGAGCGCGCGGTTGGGGAGGGCGTCAAATTACCCGAGGGCGGGTTGAAGGTCAACTTTGGAATATTCATCGCGTGACCGTAAAGTGCCGGCGACTGCGAGACATTGACGAATGACGAGGTGAAGGGAGTTTGGGGGGATCTAGCGTGGGAGCTATGGCTTCAATGCGACGCGGCGCGGAGAAGGCTCTCGGACGTGATCGTGGGAAATAGCGGCCGCGGAGGCGCGATGCGATTTGGGGGCGGAAAAAGAGGATAAACAAAGCGCGACTGCGCAGGGGTGAAAGATGGGATGCAGAACAACCACCGGATTTAACAGCCAGAAAACGGCTGACAAG